GGGAGCCATTGATACTAGTCCTGCTCTTGACATTAGGTCAATAGAAAATTCTACTTCTCTCTTGGGAGGTAGTCTACGTACTTCCTTTAAAAAAATATCAAGAAATTTCCTCACTATAGGTGCATCACTTTTATGACTCTCACCATTAACCTCCATATGTGTCAGAATAACAAAGCGACTTACTTCTTCCTTCATCTGATTTCATGTTTGTTGTGCTGACAACAACTCTCATTCCAATGAATCAGGAAACATAATTCTCTGTTCCCCATAGTTTATGAGAATGTGATTGACGACTAACTAATCAATCACCAAGATCATATCTAAGTCCTAAAAGGGTAGACATATCAAGTTAAGCTTGAATTTGCGTCCCTCGATTACTATGGGGCAACCAACACATACCGAAGAAGTTGACACCAAACCTAAAGTTGTTGTAGAAACTAATAATTCAAATCCTAGTTCCCTCATTATCAAACACAACTCCTCTAAATAAGCAATTGACACAAAGGCTACCTCCAAAATGTAAATCAATTTATTAAATATAATATAAGAACAATACATTCATAGTCATTTTCAATATCATAGAAATCAATTATATATTCACATTCAATACAATTATCACAAATCATCACATATACAATCACACAATCCAATTTCCTAAAACTTAATCAATGTGACTAAGTTACCTTCATAGTCAAGATTTTCTAGCCTAAAATACTATAGAAATTGAAGAATGACTAACTTCCCTTATCTCAAACACAGTGTCTCCAAGTCATAAAACCTAAAAAACTCCTAAAATCTCAAAAAGATAGACCATGCTCGTAACGCTCCCTCCCCCTCTTCGAAAATAACAAATTGAGTATATCAAAATGCTCCTAAACTAGTCAAGATTAATCTTTCACAACAAATTCTACATACATGTCCCTCAGGAACCACTTGCAAAACTTAAACTAAATTATGCAAAAATTGTATAAAATTGAAAAATGAGAAATTGACTCTATTCGTAATTCTGATTAGGTAAAAACAATCTCCTCTTCTCCAAGAACACTAAAGTATGTTTGGATCCAAATAAATATAAGACAAAGTGTGAAAATCTTAGAAGACAGAGAAAAGAGAGTTATACGAGACATGATGATTTTATGAAAAAAAAGTTTGATTAGTTAAACTTTTTTTACCTTAAATGATAAAATTTTAAATTTGCTCTTATTATATCACTTGTATTCTTAATTCACTTAAATTAAATTTTTATATATTATATAATTTAATAAGTATCAATATGAGCATATGAAAAAAAAATCTAATGAACCAATTTCAATTTCAAATATATTATGTATGAAATATATAATAATAGAATACGCTCGGCTCTTTTAATTGTTAAATTGATTGAACCAATAAATGAAATCTTCTACACCTAATATGGAAGTAAACATACTAAACCAAAAACATTCCTTTAAAAACTCAAACTTTAGTGTAACATAAAATATATCAATATCATGTTCTTATATTTTATTTTAATACGATTTATAATACTACATGCAATCTCACACCATCTTTCTCTATAATTTTATATAAAAGAAAAAAGCTTTCATGAACAAAAGAAACATATGTTTTTTACACGAAGAAATAACTCATTGTTTTAATACTAAATCACCTATAAAATAAATTATAATAAATAAATCATATTTATAAATTTATTTGTTATGAAGTTGGTCATTCTTTTAAGTTAAGATTGATAATTATAAAATATTTGTATAATTTACAAGAAATTTTATATCAAATAAGAAGTATGTTAGTTATGACAAGAAAGACAAATATTTGTTTAAAGTAAAATTATGTAGAATAAAATAGATAATAAACAATATTTGTTTTTAATATATTTATTATAATAAATCTATTTAAGTGTTTATTGAAAAAAAATTGAACGCACCTATCATTTATATTATCTTTATTATTCTTATATGGACTTATAATACTTTATTAAAGAATCCTTATAAAATTATTTATAGGACATTACGATACCAATATTAAATGATATTTATTATTTTATTTATGTAAAAAAAATCATAATTCTATTAAATCCTTTTTATAGTTATCATGTTATTTCAATAATTTATTTCACTGTGTTTACAAATGTATTTTTAAGCTGAAATGATTATTTTTTGTTTTTATTCTCATCATCAGTTTTTTTTTCTTTTTTTACACAAACCAATATTAATTATAACTTAAGATTAATTAAAATTGTTTTATCCAAATCAAACAATTAAAAAATTTAAAATTTATATTTTCTAAAAATTATAAATTTCTTTACCGAAAATCTTACATCACCGTACATTTCAAAGAAAAAATTACTAAAACTTCAAAACAATAATTTTGATTATTTAAATAAATAAATAAATAAACCACCTACTTGTTATTTGCTTTTAATCAAGGTTATATACACGTCTTGGTAACCCTTTAAGTACACCATTTTTTTTAAATAATTATATTTTTAAATATACATCAAATAAAAATTCGTATACTATTATCAAAATTTAAATAACAAAATTTATATTTGTTGCCTGTTATAGTTATTATCTAAAATTTATATTAAAAATAATATTTATTTTTAATAACATAATTATTAAATTTATAATATTTAATATTTAAAATTAAAAATAATGTAAAAATGTAATTTTATGTTTTTATTTTATTTTAATTCTTTAATTCCCATATTCAATTTCCTAAAAGAATATTTAGGTATACGCATTAAATTATTTCTATTAATCATGGAAGTTTAAATATTTATAAAAGAATTGTCTATTTTAGTTCTTAATATTTAAATAAAATTATTGTAAAAAAAATTGTGTCAGAAAAAAAAATTCATTTGTATAAAAAACAATGATTTGAGGAGAGTAGACGAAATGTAAAAATAAAAATAAAATATATTCATAAAATCAAATAGAAGTAAACATTTATATGCATTTGACTTTTTTTTCTAGCTCAGTGCTGGATTGGTGTGGTTTGGAAGACATTCAGCACTCTTGTTTGAGGATTTGATTGGAAATTTGTTTTAGGGGATGAAGTTTGTTTAATATAATATTTTATACAATTTATTTTATTTATAAAATATATATTATTATTTCATCCAATATTTTTTTCTTTTTAAATACTTGATTCAAACATTCATGGATATTTGTTTCATGGTTTGGTATAATTTAGAAAACACTAGAGTATTTTGTAAATTTATAATTGATTTTTTATTTTACAAATAAATTGTTTTAAGTACTAATTTAGTTTTATAGCTAAAAATGTTCTTGCTGATTTTATTTTTCTAAAAAAAGTTGGTTAAGATACTTATAATTTAAAAGTTAATAAATTAGTTTTTAAATGTTTTAAAAAATATGGAACTAAATATGAAATTTAGGTGTAAATAATTATTTAAATTATATTTAGTCATTTCATTAATTATGTTAAATTAAAAAATATAATTATGTATTAAATATAATTATAAAAAACTAAAAATCTATATTTTAAAAAAATTAAAAAACGATGAATTTTAAATAATATTTTATATTTTGTGATATTTTAAATTTAAAATAAAATTATTACTTTTAAGTATGTATAATTTTTTTATTATATTCATTAATATAACAATTAAAAAATATCATATATCTATAAATTGCAATGTCATCAAAATGTCAATTATTTTTAATATATTTAAACTAGTAAAATGACTAATGTTTATAAGCAAGTTTAATATTAACTATACAGTCATATATTAATATTTTTTAATGTATAAATGATCCAATCATATATTAATTTTTTTAATGTACAAATTAAATTTTTCGAATATGTAAAATATCATTACAATTTTAAAAAGTATTATAGAATTGAATGATATTTCAATGACAAAACTATAAATATTTAATTGTCTTTTGATTATTTTTCAATAACTTCTTTTATTTTCATAAAATTATAATGTTTACAAATTAAATTTAATCATGATTATGAAAAAAAATATATAGAGGATTTATCACAATCTAAATCTTTATTTATAACTATTTATATTATTAAGAATTCATATCTTACAATTTCATAAAAATTCAAAACATGAAGAATTGTCTTAATTTTATCAGAACATTTTTTTTATGTTAATCTTCAAGATAATCTATAACACTTAATTTAATTTTTATATTTTTTTTCAAATTAAGTTCATATTTAAAATTTTATTTAGTCACACGAATTTCATGAACAAATATTTTAATTTTTTTTCCTCCAAATTATTTAAAAACTAATTTAAGCCCAACATTTTAAAAAACCACAACATAATCTAAAAATAATTTAAATAAATATCGCTGCCATTAATCATATTGAGATGGGTTCAATAGTTAATATAGAATATAAAAAATTATAATTGTGTTTATTTTACTTATCTTTTATACTTAGCTAAAATATTATTTTAAGATCATAAAACAATACGATGATTAAAATTAATAATATAGTATAAACTATTAAAACTAATTATCAAGTATTATTTATATATTGTAGAATAAAAATTAAAAAATTCTATATTTATAAAAAATAATAAAAATACTTAAAGAACTGAATTATGTGTATGAAATATTTATCATTCTATTCTATATAATCTGCATTAAAGTTTTGATTTATAAGTTTTAAGATTTCATTAGTTGAGGGAGAGAGAGAGACAAGTATGAATCTAAACTGAGCAGGTTAGTGTTGCTGGCAGTTGAGTTTTTTTTTTTAATTTTCTTTCTTACGTATAATTCACCGTATTCACCCTGCAGTCTCTTTTGACCATGACCCTCTAAACCTAGTAATTAGTGCCGAAAACAGGGCTTATTATCGTACCCTATCTTAAGGCCGTGTTTGGCAATCAACACACCGAATGACTACCACTCTCCAAATAATCAAATCCATCACAAACACTGCCTCTAGATTCTAGGGTTTCTCTTTTCCCCTTCCATTCTCCACTCCCAATTCACCAACCTCATCGGATTCAGCCAATGCAGCTTCTTCACTCCGACGAACCCGCGTCTGAGCGGCGCGATTCGCCGGAGAAGTCCGAGGATTCTAACACAGCCTCAGATTCTCTCGACTCCGGAACAGACGACGGCACGGCTGTAGACGTTACCGGAAAAAGCGTGGAGTTTCCGGCCGTGGAGATTGCCGAGGACTCTGCCGAGAGCCTCTACGTGTACAAGAACATGTACAGCCTTATTCCGAAGTCGGTTTCGCGTCTAGCGCGGTTGCGAACGCTGAAGTTCTTCGGGAATGAGATTAACCTGTTCGCGCCCGAGGTCGGGAACTTGACAGCGTTGGAGTGCTTGCAGATGAAGATTTCCTCGCCGGGGATTGGAGGCTTGCCGTTGCACACACTTCAGGGTTTGAAGGAACTCGAACTCTCCAAAGGACCTCCCAGACCTTCTGCTTTTCCCATTTTGACAGAGATTTCGGGTCTACAGTGCTTGACCAAGCTTTCCATTTGTCATTTCTCAATACGGTTTGTGTTCGTTCCTCTATCACTTAATTTGTCCGAATTGTTTTTTTTTTTTTTCACTCAGTCGTTGTTTTATATTACAAATAGTGTGATTTGTGGGTCATTAAGATATGAGTATGTGTTTGTTTTAAAACTACTACAGATACCTTCCTCCAGAAATTGGATGCCTGAAGAAACTGGAGTATCTTGATCTTTCATTTAATAAAATGAAGACGTTGCCAGCGGAGATTAGTTACTTGAGTGGCTTGATATCCATGAAAGTTGCGAATAATAAGTTGATGGAACTGCCGTCAGCTATGTCTACTCTGTCAAGACTGGAGAGTTTGGACCTGTCGAATAATAGGTTGACTTCGTTAGAGTCCCTTGAACTTGCCTCCATGCATAGACTTCAGAAGCTAAATCTTCAGGTACCTAGTTATGATTTGTTACTACTCTGCTGTCCAGTGTATGTGTTATTATTGGATGGGGATTCTGCTGGTTCTTTAATGCGCTAAAGATAAATTTGTTTACCTTAAACACACATGCAAAAATATATTTCACTATTTTAGTCCGTTGGTTGAATTATTTTTGGCTGTCTTTGATAGTTGTTTTAAGTTGCCAGTAGTCCGTATGTTAAACTTTTATTTTGGACTTTTGGTTTGTTAGATCAGCTTTGTGGTCTAAAATATTGGTCTATCTGCAAAATATTACCATCAGTACGTCCTCTTAAGCTGTGTCCCAGTGTCTGATATGCAATCTTTTTCCTGTTTCCTTTGCTTGAAAGTGTTTAATACGCATTTAATTTGGTGGCATCTGACAGCGTTTTACATGGAGGGACCGCATTGAAGGTGCCTCTGTGCATCCAAGGTATTGATTTTGTAGCTGTAGCTTGCATATGAAACAAACGACAATGAATCTGGGTGTAAATGGGGAGTTCGCAGTTTTTACCTACGTTCTATATTACTTCTGTGTGTTATTAAGTTTTAACTATATAATTTAATGATTTCGATTTTTGAAAAAAATAATTCTATGATTTTCACATGCCTAAATAGCTCTTAACATATTTGTATGTGTACTTATTGTTCAAGTACAATAAGCTGCTCAGGATTTTTCAAATTCCTTCATGGATATGTTGTAATATGGAGGGAAATGATGAAGCTAGATGCAAAGATGATTGTAGCAGTTCTTCTGTTGAAATGGATCTCTATGAAAGCAACTTTCAGGAAAATGATGAAACCCATTCTGAGGGTGAGGCTTATAAGACATTTCCATCTTTTGTTTTTTTTGCTTTCATTTGTGGTCTGTTTGGTTGGAAAGAAACATTGAAGAAGAGAAGATAATGGAAGAGAAGTTATATTTTTCAAATACAATTCCGTAGTTTGGAAGACAAGAGTCCAGAAGAAATTTTGTAAAAGAACATGTGAGCTCCATGCAAAAAACTTTTCGGTGCTCAAGCACGAAGAAATCTGCGGAAATCGTATTGTGCATCACTTTCAATCACAAATATATAAATAATATAATCAACTATTATTTTTATGACAAATATTACTGTATATATATGTATATATGTACGTATATGTGTGTGTATATATATGTGGATGTGTGTCTGTGTATTTGTGTATATATATGAAATTGATTATGTTAACGCACATTATTGATTAGAAATCTATCTACCTCTCTCTCTCTCTCTCTCTCTCTCTCTATATATATATATATATATATTTTCTGGAAAAGAATGATTATTAAATTTTATTCTTATTTGAAGTTTTCTTTTTTATTTCTACTCTATTTCTCTTCAACCAAACACATTTATTTTTACTCTGTATCTCTTTTCTTTTCTTTTCTCACCTATCGACATCCCCCTGTATTTTCTCCCTTCCAAACTGAACATTAGTGTCTGCTCTTCCCCTTTGCAGTGTGAATGGTTGAGTTTATGTATTAAAAGCCAAGTACTCTTCTTTAATTTCTTTTGCAGGCCCTGACAATACCACATCAAGCATGCTAACAAGCTCCTCATCTAGCAGCAGATGTTTTGCATCCCGGAAGGCTGGTAAGCGGTGGAAAAGACGGTATTATTTACAGCAGAAAGCTCGTCAAGAGCGCTTGAACAACAGTAGGAAGTGGAAAGCTATAGATCATGATCAGTTGTTGAGCAAGAAGATTCACAGAATTTCTGAACCAGGAAATCGGGATAGTCTTGATTCTGAAACATGTGAAGAAATTGTACAAGAGAATGGGAACCTGGATGATAATAAAAGAATATTTTCTGAACAAGCAGTAAATGACAATGTAGTTGAGAATGTTAACAATGATGAAGTAATTATTGAGAAGCACTTTTCTGGGGAAGATTGCTGCACTACTGAAATCAAAGATGAAAAAGATGCATGCTTGTGCTCCTTAGAGAACAGGCAAAGTGAACAGGATGAAGTATCTTGTTTTGAACTTTTAGAATGTGTCTCTAAATCAAAGAGGCATTTAGATCGGGATCTTGATAATCCTAAACCGTGCAAGTCTAGAAAGTCTATCAATGATAGTTCATCATTGTCTGGCAAGTACAGCAGGATCTCATTTTGTGGCATTGAAGACCATCTATCAGATGGATTTTATGATGCAGGACGGGATCGGCCATTTATGCCTCTAGAGAATTATGAGAAAAATCAGTGTTTTGCTTCTCGTGAAGTCATCCTTTTAGACAGGTATTTTTTACCATCGCTATTATTATTATTAGTAGAATTACTAGACTAGTTGTATCAGAGTAGTAAAAATGGTCGTATATGATACAATAGTTTTATTCCTAATGTGATTGGATTGTTTATCTTTCAGAAAAAAGGATGAAGAGTTGGATGCTGTTATGCTAGCTGCTCAGGCATTGGTCTATAATTTGAAGCAGTTAAATGGTTTAAACAGACATGGGAACCAGGATGTGGTTGATAACTTGCAGACAGCTTCACTGCTTGCACTCTTTGTATCAGATCATTTTGGTGGCAGTGATAGAGGAACTATTGTAGAAAGAACACGGAAATCTGTGTCGGGTTCAAACTATAACAAACCTTTTTTCTGTACATGCTCAGCTGGAAGCAGCACCAGTATAAGGGATTCCACTGAACCAGGTGTAAACACCATAGAAGATATCACTCTTTCTAAGATGTCAGAAAAATCTATTGACTCTATTAAAAGAAGACAAAATTCAATCATTGTTCCAATTGGTTCTGTGCAGTATGGTGTATGTAGACATAGAGCTCTGCTTTTTAAGGTAATCATTGTTACTAGAATCATACTCTAGAAATGTGTACTAATTTTGTGCTGTGGCTTTTTCAGTTTTTGTGCCTTGTCGTGATGGTCTAATGCTATTTGATGATTTGTTGTACAGTATTTATGTGATCACATGGAGCCATCAATTCCTTGTGAGCTTGTCAGGGGTTACTTAGATTTTTCACCACATGCCTGGAATATTATTCTGATTAAGAGAGGTGCTAAGTGGGTTCGAATGCTGATTGATGCTTGTCGACCTCTTGATATAAGAGAAGAGAAAGATCCTGAATACTTTTGCAGGTATGTACCTTCTGAGTCAGAGGTGGATGTGGAACATAGTCTTCTTTAAAACACAGTTTTGCTTGGTATTATATAATTTTTTCTGTTATATTGCTTTCACTTGAGATGGATTGGCTATATTTAAGATTATTTTGTTTTCTTATTAAGTTTAATTCTTGATTTCGAATTGAAATATAGCTTTTGGTATCAGTTTTATTCTGTTATAAATTTCGTACTGTTAAATAATCACCAATCAATTGACATTTTAGAGTTTCAATTGATTTTTGAAATTAAATCTTGTATCATATTGTAGAGTGAAGAATTTAGCTTATGGTTTAAAATTACTAAACTAAAGCCACAGGGAAACTTTGCTCCAATTTTAGTTCAAATATTTATGTAATATCTTCATGGAAACCTAAACTTGCGGAAATTGAAGAATATGACTGAATATCATAGATTTCGCCTAACTAAGTCGATTGTATAAACATACTTTTGAAAGTCAAGATAGTGCAATTGTATAAAATATCTTTGATACAACTACCCTATATGAAACTAGATGAATATTAGTGACTTCGAATATCATAGTTTTTGCTCTGTTGGATAAGGTGTTTTGTCAGCCTTACATTTGCAATGATGAACAAATTTTGGACCGAAATGTGCATTTTAACAAATTGTTAGGTAGTTGAAGAATTCTTTTGGTTAATTAAAATGTCTTACTTTTAAGAATTTGTTCATCATCTGAGAACTTTATTTAAACTTGACTTCTGTGCGATTATGAGGGGCTATGGAGAGTCTGATGCTTTGAATTCCAGGTACATACCTCTTAATCGAACTACAATCCCTGTATCATCTAGAGGAATTCCAAGTTCTGATTATTCTTTTCCATCACTTACTACATCTGATGAACTTGAGACAAAGGCTTCAACTACTTTAGTTAAATGCAAAATTGGATCAGTTGAGGCTGCGTCAAAGGTTTGTAATTAAACATACTGGCCATGACTTGTCCTACTTTGTTAGTTTAAATTGTTGTTTGTTTGTTTGGATATACTATAAATATGTTTCACTTCATACACATCTTGTGAGGCATTGTAGGTGCGTACTTTGGCAGATCAAGGGAGTTCTGTTGACAAAATTAAAAACTTCGAGTATAATTGTCTGGGAGAAATTAGAATTCTTGGTGCTTTAAAGCACCCCTGCATAGTGGAAATGTATGGACACCAAATGTCATGTCAATGGTCTGTCTCAGCTGATGGTAATCCTGAACACCGTGTATTAAGATCTGCCATTTTTATGGAGTATGTGGAAGGGGGCTCCTTAAAAGTAAGATTTTCTGTATCATTTCTCTGTTATTAGTAACACTATTTTTTTTTTTATTAAATTCACACTTACTTTTGTGCAGAACTATCTGGAGAAGCTGTCAGATTCTGGTAAAAAGCATGTTCCTGTGGAGTTGGCTTTGCATATTGCCAAAGATGTCTCATGTGCTTTGTCAGAGCTGCACTCAAGGCACATAATTCATCGTGACATAAAAAGTGAAAACATTCTGTTTGATTTAGATAGGAAGAGAGAGAATGGAGCTCCCACTGTGAAGCTCTGTGATTTTGATAGTGCAGTGCCACTAAGATCAAGTTTACATGCATGTTGTATTGCTCAATTGGGAACACCTCCTCCCTGTGTATGTGTTGGAACACCTCGGTGGATGGCTCCAGAGGTTATGCGGACTATGTACAAAAAAAATTCTTATGGATTGGTAAGATCCTCCTACTGATCAGCCATTTATTAAGTTTAAAATATATGAACAATATCAGAAATCGTGTAACTGGCAATTTTCAAAAGTTTAACCATAGGTCCAGGTCCTTTGATTTTGAAGTTCTCTGTGACTTAGGAAAATAATATTTTGTTTATGCAAATGTGCTATTAATATAAATAATGGGAGGTATTTCTCTATGATGAAAAAGTCAAATATATTTGGGGATAGTGACTTTTCTTTTATTTCTGCCATTCTTAACTTTTTCCAACCCTCTTTTTATTTGCTGTCCCCATTATTGTATTTCTCCATTTATCTCCCACCTATTTATGCACGAAAGACATTTTGCACTTGTATCGCATCCTAACAGGGAGTTAAATATAAGCTTTGGTAAACCTAAAAGGAATGAAATAAGAGACCCAGTTTTAGATTTCCTCTATGGGGGCATTTGTTGTACAGAATCATTTTTATTCTTGGGAATCATGGTTATGGGGAATGTCATAAATATGTTGGATATGTCTAAATGTCCGGGAATGAGATAATTATAAAATAACTTAGCCCCTTCATAGCCTCATGAGAATCTTGAATTCCGATCATCTATCTTGTTGAAGTTTCAGTTTCCCCTAACAAACACTCCGATGATTTCAAATTTGACTAGTTGTTTAGGTAAATTCATATTAAAGTACATTACATAATTTGGACTATTTTGGTTGCTCTCTTAAGATATTTTAATTAATGTGAAAATATAAATTATTAACGAGACTATAGATTAGAGACATTAGTTGTTTTATAAAGATTTCGCCTGGATATTACCAGCATTTCATTCTTGATGGCATTTTTTATTTATAATCTCCTTGAAAGGTACCTCAAAGAAGATCATGAATGTTTAACAGTATTCTTGATATAGATAACCTATAAAACAAACTGATATTGATATTATATAATATGAAAAGTTGTCTTCCGTTTTATTTTAGCTTCGTAAACTAGTATTTAAGCTGTTGCAATGCATGAGCCAATATATTTAAAGAGAATAATTGCTACTTTATTTTAGGACTAAATCATATTCATAAAATGAACACTTAGTATTACGAAATTTATTATTGAATAAACTAACTCAAAGAGAAAAAAAAAACTACTAAGTTAGTTTTACATGTGTGAAAAGTTTTGTTCTAGGATTATGGTTGTAGGATACTATCATCTATGTGTTTGCCCTAGGAACCTACGCGGGGCTAGACTTGCTTCTCATACGAACTTTACAGAAAAATGTATTGTGGTCTTCTTTTGTGTTCCCCTTTTCTTCTTGTGTTCCAATTGCATAATTTAGAATGTATTCCTAGGACAGTGAGTCACTAATTTGGATGGACACTTCGTTCAATTCATAATTTGGTAGAGATTACAATCATACTGGGACAAAAGCTAAAATAATGAAAGCATAAATGCTAATACAATTATTTTAGGAATTTTGTTGTCCTGCTGCATTGAAAATTTCCAGTTTGTTTATGAAAATTATACAATACGTCCCTGCCTAGTGAGGACAATTTGCTGCCCTTTTGTTGTGGTTAGAGGTGCAAGTGCATATGTTGCTTCATATATATATATACGTCACCATTTAGGGCATCATCACTATGGGAAGGGTATGTTGCTTCATGAGTTAAGAATATATGTATAGTGAAAAAATAAATAAAATTTGCTTAGCAACCAGAAATTTTATCTTGGGTTGTAATTTTTCTTTATCTTGTGACAGGAAGCTGACATTTGGTCGTTTGGATGTTTACTTTTGGAGATGCTTACTCTGCAAATTCCATATTCTGGGCTTCCTGATTCAAACTTCCTTGATAGTCTGCAGGTCTCTTTTGTTCCACTTTTTGTACTCCAGGGGCAGTGTTTGTACTATTTGGTTTATGTGCAACTTCAACCTTCCTATTTTAATACTATAATGAATACAGATGGGTACACGACCACAATTAACTGATGAGCTGGAGGCATTGAGTTCAACGGATGAACCCTCAATGATTCCGTCTGGTGAAGAGCTAGAGAAATCAGATGCGGAGGTTGACATGTTGAAATTTCTTGTTGATCTGTTTCTCAAGTGCGTAGAAGAAAATCCTAACAAGCGTCCTACAGCTGAAGAAATCCATAAAATGCTGCTTGCACACACACACACACAGGTCGTTTACAACTGTAAAAGATTATAGGAAGATTTAGATGGGTATTCGGGTGGCCCTGTCCTAGCGAAATATATTATTATTCTTTTTCTTCATAAAGTGTGCTAGGGCTTATCCAAGTATAATTTTGTTGTTTGTAGTTTGTATTAGGTCCAAGTCTTCAGAGAGTTGTATCGTTTGTACATTTTCAAGGGGTTTGGTCCATGAGGCTCTACTGTAGTCTGGTTGAGATCGTTATATTGCAGCTAGATCTCTTTCGGATGGTAAACGTCTAGATGAACATGAGTTCCAACCATTCCTCAATTGTATCTGATTAATTTATTGATGCCATTGAATTGAATCCTCTGACTAATTTATTGATGCCTTTGATGAAACTTATAGAAGCTTATTATTTTTGCCCATTTTTTTGGTTCCAGTAATGAGCTTTTTTTTTTCCTTAAAATAATTTGATGGTACGAGATTTCGAGAGTTGTATGACTGCTTCGTCAGCCGTTTCCAAGAACTGTGAATCCTATTTTCCTTAGATTAAGATCCGTATAACTGTAAAAAATGCAAGGAAACACAATGAAGATAGAGTTGGCAAACCATTTTATCTGGGACAGGTTGATGGCAAATGCTTACGAAGTTGAAATTTTCTAAAATTACAAATTTTATGGGTCTTACTTTTTAACTGAGTTTTATTTATGATTTTATAGTTTCTAATAATTTGTTAGGGTGATAGAATTGTAACAAAGATTGTGATTCTAAAACTTGTGACTCAGCAGATGCATTATCAGGAAAAGAGAAATTACTGTATGCTAATTCAATTTGTTGATTTCAAATGCCGGGAGAATTTCAAATGAATGTGATTGGCCTTTTTACTGATCTGTTTCTATGGTTCCGTAGACTAAAGCAGAAACAGGAATAGCATAAACCAGCAACGACGTGGGCTATATTCTCGTGACAGACTAACTGGTTGTTAGCAGGTAACGACAACGAATAATTATTACTTCTCTAAATTAATGTTTCAACTTATCTTGTATTTTTACCTGGTTTCACATGGAGCATTTGGTGTCATAATACTAACACTTAAATTATTTACTAAAAGAAAAAGTCGGCGTCCTTTTCCTCTAACTAATAACAATAATTTAGAGATAGGGAGAGTGAGAGGTGCATTGCATTGGACACTGGGCTGCAGGATGGCAGAATGACACCCACCTCTGAACAGCTTGTACTCCAATTAGTTAAAATTGTTTAATGGGGTTGCAGATGCTTCATCCCTCAGCTGCTCTTTATGTTCCCTTTTCTGTGAGCACCTAAAGTTGAGTCTGGGACGGAAAAATTGAGTGGTCTTTGCATCCTTATACAAAGAGTGCATGCAGTAAGCAGTAGCAGCAACTTTGGACCACCCTACTCACAAGATTCGTGTACTTATAGTTATATATCTCTCCCACATCTGCCATATCCTTAATAAAGACCAGAATCACTCCTCATTAAAAAAATCATCCACCTATATGTATGTAGGGTTTTTAGGGAACGAAATCCCAAAATACTCCTCTATCTTTGCCAGAGGATTTTGGACACAACACAACCGAAAGTGTATTTCTAAGAGGGCCCTCAACACTCAGCAAGAAGCCGTGAGCTCCTCTGAGCACCCAACAAACGCCATTTTGAAAAATTTACTTGTGAGAATGCCAGTTTAGTTTACACATTAATTTTGTCCTTCCGTCAACAAGCATCGGTGTTTTTTTTTTTTTTTTTTTTTTTGACAACTGCGCAGAAAAATGACCTATGGCAATATTTTTAGAAACCAGTCTTGAGTAGACTGTACATGTGACAGAAAATTCAATGAAAGCGAAGAATGGAAATATCTTTTTGGCTTTAGATGCTGCTAAGCTTGCTTTACATGGGCTGGTGATCGTGCCTATTCCTTTTCTTTTTCTTGTCTCTATTTTTCTACCTCCTGACTTGGTTGGCAGTTTTTGCCACATTGGTTTAACTAAAGAGATTGAGACCCCAAATAACCAAATAGAACATGCTTTCCTCAAATCAAATGCGGACCACCTGTGCCCTCTGGCTTCGAGCCAGCCTGTTTTGTTGCAAGCTTGGGGCATATATATAGATATATATATTGTGTGGACCATGATGTTGAGACTTAATAGTAATTTTTCCATTATAGGCAACAATTACAATTTTGGCACAAAAATCTAACTCTCGTAACCCAATCCTTTACTGGCACAATTAAATATATGCTGTCATCTATGGCAACATCATTTTCCATCCTTTTTATAAAAATAAAAAACATTTTATATTTGTATTTTTTATTTAAATCACATGACAATCAACTTAACCCTTCCCCCCTCTAAACATCTTAAAATGTGCATACATTTCTCACGTTCTGACAATCTCTACTCAGCTATTGTTTTTCTTGAAACGAGTTATTATGTTTGACCCTTGAATTAACTCCACAACAGTTTTGCTATCATGAACAGATAATAATTACAAGTAGTCTCTTCTTTCTCATATCCATACAATATATATATATTAAATACACAAAATATTGCAAGTCTAAAATTTAATATTATATTTAAGGTTATGATTTGGTGTAAGATGAGGGAGACGACCACGGGCAGTTAGTAAGTAAACGTGTATTATGATTACAAATAACTTTTTAATTATCTTATTTTACCCGTATCGGTTGGAAGGAAAAATATTATGATATTTATATAATAGTACTGTGTTTCTCTATCTCTCCGCATTTCATTCATATAATAAATTTAATTAAGGAAACAATACTTACATTATGAATTTATTTTTAATATATTTTAAATTATAGAAATATTTAATAATTATATTAAATTAAGAAAAATTATGAAGCTTGTAGGGCAGTTGCCACATTCATAAACGTGAATTAGTCCGCGGTTATGGATTACATACAACCGAGAATAATGAAGATGCGGACTGAATGAATAAACTAATTTATCTTATTAGTTATGGTAATTCGTACAACCATAGTTAGAAAAGTAAAGATCATGCATAAAAAAAAAGAAAAAAAAGAAGAAAAGAAAAGCATATTTCCCATATTTAAAATAAAAAAAAGCCTCATGCATTCTAAAGTCTAACTTGGGAAATGTGCAGGCCTACCTTCGTATATGTGTGCTGGCATAGTACCTTCGTAATATGCTGCTATTTATATGCATATTTTCATAAAATATAAAACAATTGTACAAAGATTGATAAAATCATAAAATTAAAGTAATTTAATACATTCTTTCAAGCCGAAATTATTAGTAATAAATTTTAATAGATATATACTGTTGATGAAAATTTTAAAACAAGTTTTAATTTAAATTTTTTATTAATTATTATCAAATTAACAAAACAATAACTTTTTTATGAAATGACCGAATAAAAATGTATCAGTATATGTATAAAAATTTAACTTTTTTGTAGATATATATTGCCATTGACTTATCTTAAATAAAATAACATGACAAAAGTGAAAAAAAAAAAAATCTAGGAAACAACAATAATTACGATGACCTGATAACATTCAGGATGATATCAAACACGTACATTTATATGAGGATTATGTGCATTATACAAACAAACTTTGATCATTTATTTCACAATAATAGACCAGAAATTGCTCACGTAATATACAATTTATTTATTAGTCACCACTTTTCTGTGAGTGATGTTATAATAGAAAACAAAAACCATTATATTTTATAAGAAAGTAAAAGTATAGAGCTAGAAAAAATACTATATTTAGATTCTTATTTTATAAGGCATAAACAAAACTAGTTGTACAGTTGCATAAACGTAAACAGAATTACTTAGCGTGTTGATTCAGAAGGCAAGTATAAACATTAAAATATTCAAAAACTTTTTTTATAGAAATTAGAAAGAAAATCCGTTAGATTATAGGATCCTTAAGCAGATTTAGCCTCTGGACAAATATGAATGTAGCAAATCTGTATAAATTGCATCAGGAGCATGCAAACATCCTTTTTTATGATTTTTGTATTTTCTTCAGATTATATCTATCTTTTATTGAATACAATCTCGATTGAGTCACGTAAGAGCAGTAACAAATCAACAATGAAAATTTCAACTAAATATTTGATTTTATGTCTTAAAGTTTGAATTTGAAACCAGTAATATAGAACAATCACGTGCTTATAATTTCATTTGCAGCGTGCACAGTTGCACACACACAAATTAATATAGCAATGGTTTTAATTAGAAAATACTTGAAGTAACAATTTATTTTACTTTTATTTTTTTTAGAAAAACTGTTTCACTGGAGATATACATCTTGTGCAAAGAATTTTCATAATTTTTGTTTTCGATATTTGAATTAAAAATAAAAACTTGAAATTGCCAAAATGATAGTGCCTCACAATGTTGTTAGCACAGATTAATAACAAGAAAAACTATGAAAAATATGCATACAATGGTGTCCTTTAACACTTCTTTCTCGTTATGGTTGTTTTATTATTAGTTTTTAACAAAGAGGGTGTCATTCACATAAAAAAAATTACTAAAAGAGTGTCTTTATTTATATATTTATTTTTACACAGATACACTTGTTGGTGATTTTAATTATAATTAAATTTTAATCAATAATTATTGCTCTTTATAATATATATATATAAAAAATAAAACTCATATTTTACAGGAATAAAGTTCTAACTTATCTCCTTACAAAATCACAGTAACTATTTCTTATAAATTAATTTAGCAACCTGATCTTCATTAAGATCAAGTTTGACAAAGATATATTACAAGTTAACTGAAATTAAAGGTATAAATGAAATTCACTAATGTCAAATGCGTGATCAAGTTACATAACATTATTCTAATTTAATTAATGGTTTCGAATTTATGTTTTAAATGAGTAATTGCATTAAATTTATTGAACTAGAAATATTTGATTTGAATTTAAATGATTTAAAAAAGGTTCAAACTCTAATTTAAACCAATTGATAAGTTTAAAATAATAAAAAAAGATATATGTTAGTTGAAAATATTTGTTTTACACACTCTAATTCTATAGCAAAATGGCGGGTTAAGTTTTAGAATTAACAATCGTACTCAAACTTTAATTTTTAAGTATAATAAGAATAAACTATTATCATTGGTGTTGTGTGGTGTTTTTCTCTTCACCTATGATTTAAAATTTAAATTGAGAATAATACTAAAGCTAAAATTGAATCTTAATTTTTTGTAAAGTAAAATGCTTTATGGAAGAACACAAGGCATAGAATTCCTTTCTGTGAAGAACTGAATGGAGTTTTTAACATTATCAGAGAAAACTTTAAACCCAATATTGTGTGTTGGGTGAAATGAATATTTATTAGTAAATTGATGAGATGCGGCATCATGGTGTGCCTAAGCTGAGTTAGTGATGAATTGTGCATTGAAACATAGACAAGTAGCAGAGAATGCATGATGTTTTATTTGCAAGATACCAACATTACCTTTAATTTTGCGACCAATAGATGATGAACATCCAAAGGACAATAATCAGAATAAAATCCATGCATTTTTATAGCCCCATAATTCTTGTCTACAACCCTATCATCACACATTACTACATCCATCATTGCCATAATTCATCTTTATAGGCAGAGAATATAAAAACATTTCTAGTCATGAATTCATGTTTTTAAAATGGTGTTATATATCAGTAAGACAAAGGCACCATATTTATTAGTTGCAAAATTGAGGTCTTAATTGGTTTTCTAAACCATCTTAATGATAACAAGTCTTCCAATTATATGGTTTATAAATTATTAAACAATGAAAAGCATGGAGGTTGACATATAACAATCACATGAATTTCTTTTGGAAAAGCTAGTTCCTTTTTAATATTTTAAAATGATGAAGAGAGTATAATTGCACTTAAAGGTTTAGAAAAAGTAATAAGTATCAAAGAAACCATGTGTGTAATGTGATTCTCTCTCTTTATTTTTCCTATATTCTCTTATTAACACTTTAGTCCACCTTGCACCATTCTGATTTCACAAAATTCATAGCCGCCACCTCCACATATAAAGTACCCATATAAAATACCTAGTCCTAATGAAATACACAATACTTATTCGGTATATATCTAAGAATCTTTCAACACTCCATCATAAGCCATATATTCTTGCCACGTACACTTCCACGTGCTTTCTGTTCCTTCACCATTATCAATCAACCAATCCATTACAAAATTTTAAATCAACTTCTTATTTTTAGCATTTAAATCCTTATATTACTTTAAATTAATATTTATTAGTTTAATTTAAATATTTTTATTATTAACTCCTAAAAGTATGTATACATGAATTTATATGAATTAGAATAACGTAGGACATTTTTAATATTGTGTGCTTATTGACATATATTTTTACAAAATTAAAATAATAATACTTGAAAAATCCATAATATATAGTATAAACTAAATTTACTATTTTCGTATATATAATAATAATAATAATAATAATAATAATAATTAATTTATTTATTCCTTAATATATAAATATTTAGATTTACCTAATGTATTTTAAAAATATCTAAAAATAAGAACCATTTTTATATTATCTCTGTTCCTTTTTAAGTGTTTATTTTTTTTAAATCGTGTTCAATTTATTTACATTTTTAAATTTGAATATGAACTATTTTTCTCAACTAGTTTTTTATTTTTCACCAAATTTTAAATTAATTTATAATTTTATCATAAAAATATAATTAAAAATATAAAATAAGAAAGTATGCAATTATTTTATGAGAAAAAGATATTGTTTACAAAAACCTTAAACAGCTACTACTTCTTCTCATACTTTTAGATGTTTTGAATTTATTTATTCTAAAATAGTAGTTGTTTTAGACTTTTAAAATAGAATCAATGTTTTGTCTCTCAAATATACATTTATTTAATATCTGCTATTAGTGTTGTAGGCAGGAAGAATCAATACAATAAATAAAAATATTTTAGTCGAAATTTAAAATATTTTACTTTTATTAAATATTTCAATATTTTCAATAAAAATGACATGAATGAATGTGGTAGAAATTTGAAGCATCTGGGTGATGTTAAATAAATGGATATCCCATTCAACTTATTTAGCAATTACTTTGTGATTATTAAAGTGGCATCTTTTTAGATGCTCTTAATCTACAAATATCGAAGGGAAAAGGACTAGTACAGACTGTAATTACATCTTCTTCTTCTTCTTCCTTTTTCAACTCTTACCGGCCACCATAAAAATAAAAAATGGTGCATTTAAACACATAAGCTATAAAATAGATAATGACATAAATACTTTAGATCTATCATGTCACTAGCTCTATCTATAAGAAGGAAAAGGGTTTCAGATAGCATTAATTTTATAAACTATAATGAGTCATTTTCCAAATCACCAGTATCAAACGTTTCCAGTATGTGGTAGATATGCAGCTGGCACCTACCAGATGCAGCAGAAGCAAGTATTCGACAAATGGCAAATTTGCAAAAGAGAAAAAAGAGATACTTAATTTTTGTTTGGTTGAGATGCTTTTTTTCTTCTTCCTGATGCATGATGTGTGAACTAATGCAAATGGCTATGCCATGCAAATGGTCCCCTCATATACGCACCCTTTTCCTTTGGCTCATGTTCACTGCTTTCCTTCTATGTCACATTAAGAGATAGAGAGAGAAAGTTTGTGTGTGTGAAAGGGTTCCCCACTTCCTTAGTACGCAGCCCAAAAGTTATTAATGCACTTGTAATATATATAGAAAACACTCGCTATCTTGTCTGCAAACTGCATGGTGGTAGTGTTGGCGTGACAATATTCAATTTGCATCACTAGGGACCACTTTTTACCTCTTTTAATTTGTTTTCATTTTAATAATTTCTCCAATGGCTTTACACCCCCCTAATATTCCGTAACTTACAGATAACAAATATTAAAAGTTAAAACAAAGGGTGAGCAAAAAAGTTTAAAAAAGAAGGAAAGCAAGAACAAGGAACCCTTCAAATTTTCACCACGCTTCTTTCTTAATTTCCCCTGATCGCTGCTATATATAATAGTGCCTCTTCCTACTCTCTTCTCCATCCAAACCCTAGCTAGCAAACGCAGCAGTTAAAACCTCCCTTCAATTCCCAATCTCATCATCATCATCATCACCTTTTCTAACTCTTGTTCTTGTTCTTTGCAATATCTATCTATCATCATGCACCACTACCAGTTGAAGCTGCCAGCATGATCTTAACTTCCCTCACTTGGTTGAGGAAAGATCAGATCATGTGGCAGTTTCACCTAGTAGTTGTTGGCCGCATGAACCCTAGTTCTCAGTTCTGCTACCTTCTTTATTTCGTGTCTAATTATGTGTGTGTCCTCTAGGATTTTCTTTGATTCTTTGTAATTTATAGTATAACAGAACAAAAGTGTAACTAGTAAGAATGGATTCTCATCTACTTTCTCTCACCTGGGTTCTTACTCTAGCATATATATAACTGCTACCTCATTATTTTCCCCTTGTTTTTTTTCTTGGATAAAACAAGGATATGAGATGTTTAACGATTATTTTTCTTCTGCCAATGCGTGAAATTGAATATGCTCTATGGTGCGAAATCTTAATTGTATGATTGTTAGGGTTTTGAGAGACAGGAACTGTTTTGCGTGGCTCGGTGTAATGCATTCGTGATTTCAGGATCCGATTCGTGCTTCGGTGTATGAGCCTCCGTTACATTGGAATTGTTATATACCCCTTTTTTTTGTTGAATTTATCTTTTGAATCTTTATTATTAGTGTCTTTCTTTATTTCCTTGGTGGGGGTGATGGCAGTGAAATTCTGTCTTTAGGGTTCATGTTGATGTTGTTTGTTCTTTCTGGATTTCCTAAGGTACTCTGAACTCCTTTCCCTATACCTAGATTTCTTTTCTTTCTTATTTAAAGATGGTCATTACTTAACTAGAGAGAGATTGAGAGAGAGAAAAACTGATATTGTAATTTTTCCCCATGACATTTTGGGATTAACATGACCTATATGTTTGTTCATAGCTTGATTAACTTGAGTGTGGGAGTGCTGAATAAACATTGATGTATGTAGGTACTGCAAATTTGTAATTAATACATATGGCTCACAGTTCAGGTGAGTGATGTCTACTAAGGCCAATTCCCATTGATTATGTGAGAAAATGCTCAAATGAGACAAAATAACTATTCCATTGCTGAAGTCACCGTAGATTCTCAATATCTCAATGTACTTTCCTCATCTTGCTAGGATCTGAGTACAACCTTTTGGCATAGATTTTTGAATTTGGATCTTTCCTACGTGATGAGACAATCATGTGCTTTGTTTTCCCAAAGAAAAAAAAAATTCCTCCAAGTGTGTATGAGATAAAGAAAAAAAAAACTAGTAATAATAAACTTTAATATTTTCTTCTACTGTTTACAATCATCTGTTACATTGAAAATTGATCCTCCTTGGAAGCATCTCATATGGATAATCAATTGATTTCATCATAACAACCATGCTCTGCAAGGTTTCTGACAATAAATATATATGAGGGCATGAAGTCATGAACCACCATGTCCCCGTAATATAATATCATCTCTGGTTGTGTTAGATTTGTACATGGTTGCAGTTTCTTTTCTTCTCTATTTTATCTTCTTTGTCCATTTTGGTTCTCAGAGGGTTTTCTTTGAATTTGAAGCTTCCTCCTTCTTCCTTCTTTTATTTCTCTTTCGGTAAGATTCCACATAGCTTTCAATCTGCTACGAGTACTTAAATGACATGTAATAGGTCAGTGATTTGATTCTCTCAATTCTTTCTTTCCGTATGTCTTTTATATGTCAGTTATTCTTCGATATATATTACCGAAGATGTTAGCTTATATCTCTATCTTAACTAGTACATTGAGTCATGCATTACTGTTAGACAATTGTGCTCAGAATGAATGAGAAAATAAAACCTATTAATATAATAAAGAATATGCAGTCATCTACTTTAGTTTTGAGGGAAGACACTTATATCAAGATAATTATCACACTGAACAGGTGATTGTACACAATCACAAACTCTTGATTCAACAAAGCTCATACATTAAAAGCTGTGAATATATTTATATGTAATTAACTGAGACAAGTTCATATTAAATCGTTATGGGATCCCTAAAATGCTTGATGACTAAAAATAGCTCTCAGTCACAGGTGTTATACATGACAACCCTTTGTATCAGTGCAGTATATGAGTGTATTTGTGTGAATTGCAAGTATAATTGGAAGTCTCAGTTTGTTGTCACAGAACTCAGTATATACTGGTATTTTTCTTAAGAAAAAGCACTAATTAGAAGTTACCACATTGATTTCCTTTGTTGTGAGAATGTCTCAGCCACTGCAGTAGATAACACTGGAATACTGAAATTAGAGAGTTTCTTTGAACTGAAATACTGAATGAAATCAAAACAAATGCTTTTGTATGAGCATGAACGCATTCAATTTTAAGATATCAGATATAGAGAATGTGACGTGTGTCTTGATTTCGTTTGGTCCCCATCCATAAAAATTTAAATCATTATGATTCTTACGTTGAACTTTCAGTTTTCTGTGATTAACCAACATCTCTCATCATCAATTCTAATATCGAGGTTTTATTTATTAATTACCAGAATTACCTGAAACCTTTCCACTCTTTTATTGCTAAAAGTTTAAACACTTCCTAACATTGTAAAAAGAAAAGTGAGATTAATTAATTAAGGTGGTTCAGAAGGAGGAAGGAGAATATTTTTCATTGAGTTATCTTGTTTTCCATCACATCACTCATTATTTCACATTTTCCCTTCTTTCCTATCTCTCTATTATTTTTCTCTTTTACTGTAATACGCACGAATTGAACAATGATTTCTCTCAAATAAAAGCAAAATTGTCCTAATTAAATTCATTATTTTATATGCTTAAAGAAGGAAGCAAAATAACCCTAGTTTTGTGATTTCGCTCGAAACAAATTTAAGTTCTGACCAAATTTTGGAAACTGTGCAGGCTAGCTTATGCTTAATTATTTCAATACATGTGAATTTTTTTTAACACATTTAATGGTATTGTGTTATAAATATTTTAGCCGTGCATTATTCACTCATAGGATAAAAAAAGAAAAAGCTGATAAATTATTCTGTTTGATGATTTTTTTTTTCTTTTTGAAAAATACAGTTGTTAAAAATCATTTCAAATGTGTCCTAACTTTAAATTACTTATTTATTTGAAGTAAACATATCTTTTCTCACAATTTCAAATATATTTAAAAAAAACTCGTGCAAAATGCAGATACTTGCGTGTTATTAAATAACATGTTATGTTGTTAGTTGTATAGAATGGATAAAAGGAAGGTGTATTGATTATTGGAGAGTAAATTGAATATAATACTGGAAATGGGAAATATCCCATTAAAACTATTAATTATATAAAATTAAGCATATGCCAATGGGGCCCAAAGGGTGATATACGAAAGCAAAATTCATAAAAAGGTCGCCTACTTTTGGAACTTTAATTTGTTTATTAAAATTCCATTACGAACCCAACCATATATAATTTCTTTATTTTTCTTTACTTATATACCAGCCATTGAGAATCAGGATTTACGAAACAATTCAAATGCACTTCATTCTCAACACTTTCATAACATAAAAAAAAGAACTATGTTTCCATAAGCTCACACTTGCTCAGAACCCCGAAACTTTAGCTCATACCTAACAAAATGCATGGCGATTCCAAAAGAATTAATATGTGATGAAGAGAGATAAAAATATAAAGATTGCGAATAATGTGTTTGTATTTTGTGGTTTTCAAAACCAGGACTCCTTAGAATCATTCCTTTGTTGGATACATATTATATTATATTATTTATTTATATATATATAACATCATCCGTACCTAAGATAAAGCATCACTATTATTATAATTTGACTATAACTATCATGATTAGTGCATAACAATATGGTTAAAAGAAAAGTTTCAAATGAACACCATGTAATAAATCACCACATAGGTGGATGAAGCATAAACCATTTTACCTTAGTCATATAAAACTTTTATTTTTTTACATGCAGATATTTGGGGCACATGCATGAATTTCCAGAACTTTCTATTATGTTGGCAGTAGTTCATAATTTCAATTTTTAGTTTCATGGTATTAAAATTTTGCCATAATCATATGTACGGATGAGATTTTGACCATAACCTTGTCTCCACAAGTTTATTACTCAATTCAATTTAGGATCCGTATATAATACTTTTTTATGCTACTTTTTATCAGGGTATTCAAATCCTTTCTTATTTGAGAAAAATCTAAACTCATAAGTTTACTCCATGTCTCCCTTGTTCAGGTAGAAAAGATTTTATTAGCCCACCAAAAAAAAGTTCACTTTTGAAAGAGAAGTGCAATCAATAAGTGAGAAGAGAAAAAAAGAAAGTTAGCTCTATTTCTATAATCAACTTCAAGTTTTTGAAGAACAAATCCACAACGCATAATTTGTTCAAAGTGAATCATCAAATTGGTATTCATAGCTTGCAATGCCAGTTATTCTATTCTTACATTAGTTTCATTTTGGCTAAAAGAAACTCTCTCTTTTTCTGTAATTTTTTAGTTTAGTATCTTAAATTAATATATATTTGTTAATGTTTTAAAGCTTCTCTATTAAACCAATCAAGCTCATTTTTCATTAATTTATCTTACTAACTTCTGTAAACTTGGTGATATGTAACAAATGATCATGTAAGATAAAATGGCACTATTAACGTTGAATATTGATATAAAAAAATTATTTAGTCTAGTAAATACTTTAAAGGATAAAGTATGTTTTGCATCAATGTAAAATTCACAAAATATTAAATATATTTTCAAGAATTCATATTATTTTTGTAAAATTTAAACATCTTTTAAAGTCTTTGTTGATAATAAAAATAAATGAAAAACTTATGCTTGAATGATAATCTTAACATAATATTAATTATACATCTAAAAAAATCTAATTATAAAATTTACGTGTTAATATTGTCATTCTAATCAATTTTGTCTGTCATTGTTATTAATATGACACTAAAATATGTTTAAATTCGAGATGGATAAAAATAATAAACACTTTTTTGAATGAACTATTTAATATTTTTAATTTTAAAGAGACGAAAACATATTTTACCCTACTTTAAATGTCATAAATACATATTTTAAAATTTAATATACCAATTAAAAAAAAAAAAAAAGTGGCCAAAACTTTATTTTATTGTGGTTATTTTCGACCTTCTATAGTCAACATTGGTGCTTATTTTTTTCCCTAGTTAATATTACTTGTTAGCCCAATCTGTTTACTTAAAAAAAATTGTACCGTTTTTTATGATCATAAAAGAGTTATTGGTCATGGTTTTTTCTCACGTTGAGTTATATTAGTCATGGTTTTTTCTCCTTATGTTACTTTCATTAAATGCTTAGCTAGCAATTTTCTAGCTTGCCAATCCCAAATAAAATTTGTGTGGTGTATCTGAAAATTTAGCCTCAATTCCTAGAAATAATTTTATTCTGTTTATATGCGTAGTCTTTTAAGAGTGAACGGTTTTTATTCTAGCTATTAACTGATTTATATTTAAATTTAGCAATGGAAGATTACACTAACAGCCCAATATGTTTTAGCTAATGGCTACAGTGCAGGATAAGTACATATGCTGGGAAAAAACTCCCCTCCTTGCAAAGTAGGACATTTCTACTCTTCAACATCTGTAAAGGCCTTATGGCAAAATTTTCTACAAACATGGACAGAATATTTTTTACAATGCCAAATTTGACATCTATAAAACTTAATGATACTAGAAGAAATTCATTCTAAACTAAACCTAAAGAACTGTAATCATGGATCTATCGATGGAAACCTACATGACTAATGTACAAAGTAATCATTGCATTCCATATGATTGTTTCACTAGGTTGATGCCTGCCCTATGTCTATCTATCTTCTACCAAGGCCAGGCCACTAAGCAGTCTAACAGTAAAACATCACTCTCTTCACATTTTCTTTCAAGTCTGGCAATGGCTTGACACTATAATCTCCACTTGCTCTTGTTCCTTTGGAATTATGTCCATTACCATCACCTGTAGAGCCATTCTCTTGCATATCTGGTTCCATGTAGAAACGAGCTCGAAAGGCTGCTAAATGCGCATAATATGCTGGAGGAACTGCACGACAACAATTTCCAGCCAATTAAGTTCTAAACTATACAAGACAAAAATAAAGGCTAAAGTTCAATCATGATGTAAGACTATCATAGCTGTTCAACTAGTCTTAAGGGTAAGGACAAGGGTAGTAACTGGGACCATAAAAATGAAAAACTACGAATTAATTGAAATATAGCTTACCAACAGAAACTGAACGTGTACACCTTGCATATGTATAACAAAGATTGTTTGTCAATGACTGAATCCCATCTGCTGTGAAGTTATTTTCATCCCACAGAACATGATAATGAGCTGGCCGACTAGTACCCTGAACCGTAATAGAAACACAAGTTTAGATTTTCCAAGATTTAGCGACGTAGATAATGAGTTTCCAAGATTGATATTTTCAAATCAGGAATATCAAATCCAGCTTTCTGGGGGAATCTTGAAAAAGTATTCCCAGAACAAGACATAAGAAAAACCAATAAAAAACTTCTTATTGAGTTTATACTCCATCTAATTTTGACAGTTATGCTACTTCTTTCCACAGTCAACCTCACTTGTAATCATAAACCCTGGAATAGAAGGTAAAAACCATCTTCTACCTGGATGCCGGCATGACTGCAGAGATAAAAATCAAATTCTGTTGGATGGCAGATTTTGGAATCAACAACAGTCCCTGAATGACAATTTAAAACAAGAAAACTCCAATCCGTTACTAGATATATAATCATTTTAAAATGGGAAGAATGAATCAGAAATGCATTTCTGTCCAGAAACGATTAAGGAATGTGCAAACATACCAGGCAATATATTCCCACTCCTATCTGTACTGCCTCTATCCCTGTAGTTGTTTGCGAATAACCGAGTATGATGTCGTTTTTGCACAACTATGAAAGTTACTGGAGGCTGGTAATTTGGTTCTAACGAAGCGCATGCCTACACAAAACTCGCTTCTCAGAAAACACATCTTTGTTATAAAAGGAATATAAGTGCATGATAGAAAGCAAACGATGCTGACCTTCCGAATCGCATCCAACTCATAAAGTAAAACTTGGTAAAATTGCCCTTCACTGACACCATCCCTGTTCAAATGTCTATGTTAATATCGCATCCTGGTAACATAACACTTCCATCAAACTTGAGTGTTTCAGAAAGCCAATGTCCTAGGGATAAGATACACACATGTGAACTAGGATTTAAATGGAACGCCCCTGAAATATACGAGTAAAAGGAAAAGCCATTTGGAATGTTCCTGGTAGTAACACTTGATTTGGCCAGCTATATGACATCATCCCCCCAGTAAACAAAACAGGGTTTATATGGACAAATTATGCAATCTAGCAAAAGTGGCCGAAGGGATGAATTAAAAAAATCATCTGAAGTGCGTTGAGACAAAATCCATTAAGAAGTCAAAACAATGAAGCCGAAGAGTAAAAATTACATGTATAATGTAAAAAATAGGGGGGGAGGCTTAAAAATATTGGAAGCTAACAAACAAATTCTAGACATTTCAATGGTGCTAGGTTTTGTAACTGCTTACTCCATCTAAGGGCATGCACAATGCTGTATGTTTAATGTAATTCTAATAAAAACCAATGCCAAGCTTACAAGTAACCAATTCAACAGAGGTACCGTTCAACCTACTAAATTATTTATGGAAGTTTATGACATGCATTTCAGATCTTTCCTCATAAGTTAAACATAATGACCTGTAAAATATAATTCGTAGCGGCTTTTGCCCTGTTGCCTTTCTAAAGGAAACCAGTAAATCTCTGCACAAAAAGGGACATATTAAAATGATAAACTAAGTAATTTAGAATGAGTACGAGAGATTGATAGTTCTTGTGTATTTTAATAAAAACTTTGAGTTATTAAAAAAATGATAAACTAAGATTTAATATAATTGAAACTCATCAGACAACAAATTAGAATGATATTCATAATTAAAATAGTAAAATTAGTATTATCAGTACCGAATCATGCCTCCACTAACTGTTCCCCGAACAGGGTCATGCCAAGTTTTGTACAAGTCTTGAATAAGTTCCTGCCTATGAGCTTGAGCGCACACTAAACCAGCATATTTTGTTACTTCAGGCCAGTCCTGAGATGCTACTACCTATAAATTGAGCAATCATTATCAGTTGCTCAAATCATCAATGACTATTGCAATACTATAAAACAAATAAAGATAAATAGATTTAGATAAATACAGCTGCTATTGAGGGGCTTGAGTCTTCCCCATTTTCTGGGTGGGTTACATCTGCTCCGAAAATTATGGTTGGTATGTCACTGACCAACGGTATCCTGCAGCTCACAGCATCAAGAAGTACAGTATTTCTACCTCCCATCTGCACCGAGAGGAGGGCAAGTGACGACTATTTAGTTATTGAATACATTTATGAGAAGTAACAGCAATATTAACATTAATATGCAAAAAGTACGGACCTACATTTGCTAAAATATAATAACAAATGCATCATAATCAATCCATGTATTTGGCTAACAATTTCCAACAGTGTCTAATTTATTTATTAAGAAGCATGAGGTTATCCACACTATAATGAAGGAAAAACGGAGGGGAAATTGTCTGATAACTACCAGAAAATTGAAGTAGACATAAAAGTTCAAACGATGGTTTAGTCAGGAATAGGTAGTTTTGTGATTGAGAAGTAAACAAACCTTCACATTGATCTTCAGAGACACATTAGCCAGGTACTGTTTAGTAATTTTGAAGACATGCTTAGTCAGACAGCATTGTGAAATTAAGCCAAGGTCAGTTTCACAAATTCGCTTGAGATCACCTGAAAACAAAATGCGTTTAAACTAATATTCTGCATTGTAGCTCAGAACATCTTCTGTGTTATGTCAACTCGAGCAAGTAGCAGTTAAAACAATCTTGTAGAGTTATTATCAATTCGCATGGCTTACCATAGAGAGATCCGTTGTTGTCCGGCAATATGGCTAACAAAAGCTCCAATTCTTTTCCTTTATTTTTGCTCGCTGACACATGGTAAACATGTTTCAAAGCTTTCTCAACCTGTTCAGGCTTGGCATTGTAGATGGGGATAACAGGCTCTGGATTAAATTCCTACAAGAAAAGTCATGTTACTAAATATCAGAAAATTTCTTTATATCAAACACAGACAAAATAAAATAGACGGAGGATTACCATGCCAGATACTTGACACATTTGAGCAAGCTCATTACAAAAAGTACGAGCAACACTATCTTGTACGCTCCGTGAAAAATTTATGCATGCCCACCGGCTAACAGTCATTCCATTAATCATTTTCTGTCATTCAAGATTTAGGAGACAGATATCAATACTGTGCGCTATCTTGAGTTCTTGGCCCAAGCAAGAATAGCAGATATGTTGGAATAGATGACATATGCCAAAGCGATATCAACATAACAAAATTGTGTCCCCTAAATCAAATGAAATCAGAGAATTGACCAACAACAGCTACATTTCAGAAGAGCTGGTGAATAGAGAAACGTAATGTCAAAACATTACCTTGTTCATCATATTCCACTGACCAACTTGGGGTAAACAGTTCTTTTCTTTCCCACTTTCGTGATATTTAAGCTGCAATCAGAAGTTCTTTAAATCAATGAATACTGGGGAAAAGGTAGATTAAATTCCAGTAAATGTGACAAACCAGATCTTTAGAAGGAAAGGCCCATTACCCAAGGGGCTGGAAGAATTCGTGCTTCAACAGAAGCTAGCTTTTCACTGATTTTAATTCCAAATTCCTTTGCATAAGGATCTTGATCGTAAGCATTATGTTGAATGGTCTGCTTGTAAGACCCCCACATAAAAATAAAAGTAAGATAAAAAACAAATAGTTAATGTTTATGAAGGTCCAACATTATCATGTAGTTAAGGGAAAAATGTGTGTAAACACCATAGTTGAATGCATTTAACCTTTCATCTAATCCAAGGTTTAATTTCTCACATCACATAAAACCACAAGTTTTAAACCATTATGTGAAAATTCTAATTATTATATTGACATACACATGAAGGTAGAAGTTTGGCAAGTACTTTTAGAACAAATAATGAAAACATTGATAAGTAACCACCCTTTGTTTCCAAATTGTTCTGCAATTAGATATTAGCTTAATTTTCAAAAACAGGCATGGTGGGGATGTGGCTTCTTTGTAAAAATTAACCCAAAATGAAAGGCTTGATTGTTGTAGTGAACTTTCAAAATTAAATACCCGTAAAATGTCATTTTCACGATCGCGAGGTCTCTGGCAAGTAACTTTCAACAGAGCAGTAATTTGCTTTTCATTCAATCTTTTTGTATAACGTTGCCCCTCAACAATTTTGCAGGCCTGTGGAACCAAAAAAATATAACATTAAAACATCATGAGAATGTTGAGTGACTAACCTAATTACCGGGAACTTTTCCTACCTCCATAGGTAAATAGTTGGCCTTCTTTTGGTTTCCTACTTGAAGGCAAGGAAGGTGAGTAAATTGAATAGTGAAGCCATACATCTCTTGGAAATATTCAACTACTGATTTCATAGTTGAGTTCTCATCAACAGGAAACCTAAAAAATACATCATTATTTTGTGAGCTGACGGAAAACCACTATAACTTCTAAGATTGCTAGTAGGAAGAGACCAGGAAGAAAAATAACTTACACAAGTTCTCTTGTTGGTTGAGAAGTCAACCCTGAAACACGATATTTTCTTCTCACACTCCCTCTATGTGTTACTTCAACTTTAACTCCTCTAAGTGCTTTCTTAATCTATTAGACATCAAAAAGAAGCTTAGTAAATTGACCAATATTTACAGCATAAAATATGAACTTAGCATGCTGTGTCACAGTCATAAGTACCTTAATGCGATCAGCATCTGACAATGGCCGTGACATTACATCTTTCCCTAATAGCTGCCCAACAAATTCCACTACTGGAAGTGGCTCAATAAATGCAGCAGATGCCATATCTATGAAATGCAAGAACACAATGAAGAGAAAAATGACAGGTTATCAACCCATTTGACAAAAACTACACTTTATTTTCATTTTGTTTCTGTTTTCAAAGATTTGTACAAAAGAGAAAACAACTTTTCAAACAAAACAAGTCCTAAATTACTGTAATCAGACTACTTGTATAATTAATATTTAATCAATAAAAGCAATCTACCAATATTGAGGGAAAGGCCCATTTGAGTAGGCCTTATGCTCTGGTAAAATCCACACCACGACTCTAATCCCTCTCCAAGACGTTGTGGTGTTGTAATATCGGGTGAAAAGAAGGACCTTCCAATTGGGCAATACCTTCAGAAAATGCAGCCTTGTTAAGATAAACATAACTGTAAGCTTCACTCACTTATTCAATATATCATTTCGTGAATTTAGTAAATTTATTACACCCCCTATACCAATACTACCTCTTAGTTGCCAGCTCTCTTAGTACAATGTCCAGGATTTGAAGCGCCTCTTGGGGTGCATCAGCACGCTTACCAGCTAGAAACTGGCCCAAGTGATGCAAGTTTGCCCGAGCAACAAATTTGATCACCACCCTGTACTCTCTTTCTCTTCTGAAAAATGACAAAATGTCAGTTGAAATTGAACCTACTCAACCACATAAAAACTGTTCGGTTTTATCTAGTTACAGTACAAAACGGGTGGTTGTGTGTGTTTGTGTGCGTTGATAAAGGAGAGAGAAGAAAGAAAAATATTTAAGTGATTATGAGCAATAAATCCTTACTTGGGGCCATTAACTCCATCCTCTTCATCTACAAGCTTAATCTTGAACTCTCTCCAAGCAAAGGGAAGCTGCCCTGCCGTGTACAGACTTTTTCTGCCATCATATGCTGGAAGTCTCATCCCCAAGTCAGACTCTTTATACAGCCTCACTAGTTCTGATATGATAGACCTGTTTACTGTTTTAGAAGACACTTCTGGGGTAATAGTAACCTTCAAAATAAACCCATACATAATGACATTAAATTAAAGCAAAAGCAATAATAATAGGGAACAAAGGCCTAAAGCAAAATTTAAAAGTCTCATTAATGACACTACAAGAAAAGGACTGCAAAAGCAGAACCCCTATAAGAGGAAAATCACAGGATGAACTTAAATGCATGCTGCCATAGAGGGCCCAATAGTTGTGCACTCAGAAAATCCAATTTAATTGCCTTATCAGCACAGTCATAGATATACCAAGGAAAGGATCTTACATCATATTGGTTCAAGTCCTTGTCTGGTAACTCTGCAAAGAAGTGGTTAGCCTTCACAATGCATTTTGTCCCAACTTGTCCATATCCAGGCCTACGAGCAAAGCTCAAAGTCTTGCTTGAAGCGGGAAAACCCATATCAGAGGTGCAACCATTTTCAACATTCCCATTTGCACTACTAGTAAGTGCTGCTGTGCATGGTCTGCATCTAGGCCTCATCATAACATCTCCTTGATCGGGCTTTCTGCCACCTCTTCCCCTTCTTCTTCCCTTGTTCTTTGAGTGAGGCAAAGCTTGGTTATCGTTTTCTAGTGGCGGTGGACCTTTGCCATTTTGGGCAGCTTTGGTTGTCTTCTTGACTGGATTCATAGGATTCTGCAAATGGGGTTTGATCACAAGGTGTTGCTCCGAGCTTTCTTTCATCTGCCTCACTGGCATGTTGGCTTTCTTGATGAGTACTTACTCTCACCAGAATGTGTACAAATAACGACAGTACAACAAAGTTGTCGAAGGTGACAAGCTTCACAGTAAACCAATTTCACACTTTTAGCTTTTGCTTGTTATATCTGCCAAACAGTACCAATTGCTCGAGCTAAGAATGCATATACAAAGATGGAAAATGTAATTATCATGCTGGTACAATGGCTTGATTTGATGTATGAAGTCAGAAGAAGAAAACTAGTAAGGGTGAAACTGAAAACTGGCATTGTCTTGTATTATTGTATAAGAATACAAGCATTACCATTCTTTTGCAAAACTGAAAATTCAATATTTACACCCTTACATCCGAAGCAAATCCAAAAGTGGCTATGGCAGTAGAAACATACAGCTATACAAACCCATGGAGCAAAATAAGGCAAATAAAAGTAAATTTCGACAACAACATCTTTTCGCCCTTGCTTAAAGTTGAAAAGGTCAGAAGACAAGGAAATCTGAGTGCAAAATTGCAGCTCAACACATTAACTGTGCAACACGAAATATCACAAAGAGCAAAAGACAAAAGAAAATTAAACACGATCGTTCAGTGTGGAAGCCAATGACGACTATGAGCAAGGAATAGAAGCGTAAATAATAAAATGTGATTAGACATGTGAGGGAAACTTGCAAAATGGAAGTAACCAGAAGACAAAACCAGTTCTTACAGACTTGTCCCCTGTCGAAAACTGAAAATTACCAAGACGACGCACATGTATAGCCACCCAACCGCACTTTTTAAAAAAGACAATATAACAATGCATGGATTGTGAAGATAAAGTTGAAACCTTCATTATACGGGACTACCATGAAATTGAGAAAAAGGAAACAAACAACCAGTACAAAACAAAATCACTGTGCCAAAAATCTTCACCAAGAAAACAAAGAGAGAGAAAAAATGCCGGTAGTGCTTGCTTAAGAGCAAAATGTTTTTCCATTAGAAGCCATGAAGTCAAACCAACTCAAAACAAAACCGAAACCCACTAAGCACAAGTGACAATGAGCATGAAAACGAAGAAGCAAAAGGGAGAAAATGAATAAAAGGACGAAACTTGAACTCACCCTCTTTCAACAGGAGGGCTGGTGAAACATGGGTAGTAAGTTAGACGTAAAAGGAATGAAGGAGGGGAGGAAATAGTAGAAGGGTGTGTTGGTGGAAGCAAAAGATTCAGAATTTTGAAAGAGGAGGAAGAAAGGAAAGGGAAGGTGGGTAAGAAATAGCGTTGATGATGATTATAATGATCTTATACACGCATGCAATGCGCTTTTGGTTCTTTCTTTATCACGTGTAAAAGGCTTTCCCTGCCTCTTTGCTTTTACTTCTCTCTCTCTCTCTCTTATCAGTTTCCGCAGCCTCGGTTCTACCATCCTCATACTACTACAACAAGATAGTATTTGTATTTTTAATAAATCATTACGTCTGTTCAATATGTATTCCGGAGTTTAATTTTAAAATTTAGTACTAAATATCATTACGAAAGAGATTGTCTCTGCTTTGAAAATAATTCAAATTTAATTTTTTTCACATATCAATAACAACAATAAATACGTCCTTTTGTATTATTTTTATATGTTTGAAATATAAATATAATTTATATGAAATAAAATAAAAAATATATTATTTTTACTAAAAACTGATGAAAGGAAAAATCCATTAGACAAAAAGAAACATTAAAAAAAACATTAATAATATTATATATAATTAGAGAGAGGGGGAGAGCAATGAGTCCAAAAGAGTAACTGAGAGGATGATAAAGGCAACGAAACAAGGAAGAAGAATAATTTGAAGTTGCAGGGCCGTTTCTTCTCTTGCAGGCTTATTTATTTGTGTGAGTGCTTTCTTTATTTATTTTTATTTTTTATTTATTTTGGTTTCTCAAAATGTTGGTTCTGAATGTTTTTTATACTCCCAAGGTGGTTGTCCCGAACCAAAACTCTTTTTGAGTTTGTGAGGCCTTTGTAACGGTCCATTCAATGGGTTGCTTAGGTTTGGGGGGAGTGGGGCCCACGGTGTGTGGTCTGATTCAGTACTTGAGGGTCTACCACATTTGTTTGTTGACTAGGGGGGCCCAAGAGATCTACATTGATCATGACTCTGGTTTCAGATCATGTCATGATGATACTAGTTGGTTTTGTTGGGTGGGGTACCCACTGTGTACATGGCTTCTTCGCAAAATCATGAGGAAACGACGTAGTTTTCGCTCTTCAAAACCCACTTGATTATAGTGTGGAAGGTTGCCCCTTGGAACATTGCTCTTTATCATTGCATTTTGACTATAATGTCCCATGATATTTATGATGTGAGGATTATTCATTATATGCACTCAAACACTTTTTCTGTTTGATATTTTTAGAGTACGTTAAATTACCCACGATAACTTGTAGCTTATTTGGGCTAGTTTAATCAAATAATTAGTTTTTATTTTAATATGATTAATGTTTAAGAAAACAAAGTCAAATTAATATTTTCTTCTCAATTACACTTTATTTGACAATATAATTACTAATCTACCAAAGATTCCAATGTTAAATTAATATATGTTGTCTAAATATAATAATATTTTTTATTCTATCAAATTTCTTTCCGTTCATTGGGTAAAAAATTATTCATATTCACAGTTTTATTATAAAACTAATAACTTTTCCTACACGGCAGTAATGAGATAAGAAGGGAAGAAACGAATAACTCCATCCTAATTATCTCCTATAATTATTTTACTAATTTAAAAATATCGAACATAAAAATATAATTTAGAAATTCTAAAATCGAGAATATAAGGTGAAAATTTTAAAATAAAATAACACAATATAAAAAAATTTATTATTCTCATATTTTATTTAACCCCAAATACACATATTTCATAAAATAATAATTTAAATTAAGTTTCACAACATTTCCATTATAAAAGTATAAAAAAATTTAAATATAAATTTAAAGTATTTTTGAATGAGGTATCAAAAATTTATTAACTTTAAATTTATTATATAACTATTATTAGTTATTCTATTATTTATTTAAAGTAATATAAAATTTTTAAGATATATTATTTTTATCAATCTAATAAAATATAATTTTTTTTATTTTGTTTTATATAAATATCAATATTATAATAAATAAGGTGTCAAAAAGTAAGGAATTTAATCGGTTGAACTACGTGTCTGTCGTTAATTTTAATATGTTAATTCGATTTATCTTATCTTAATTTAACAAATTGACTATTAAAAAAAATCATATTAAATTAAAATAAAAGATTAAAATTGAATTTTTTATTATATTATTATAATGTATAAATATTTTATATTTAAATCATAAATAATAATTTTTTATTATAATAAAGTATTTTAATATATAAATATATGTTTTTCTTAATTCACTCAATATAAAATATTAAAAATATTTATATAATTAATGATATATTTTTAAAAATATATAAAGATTATATATAAAAAATTAATAAACTGATCCATTTATTTTTCTTGTAGAAAATTATTTATTTTATCACATTACTAAAAACAACAACAAAAATGTATATCTTTGCCAAAATTATTTATCTTTTATATTAATTTATGTTTTATTCTTAAGTCATTTTTTAATGCTTAGTTATAATTGTTTTTCGTATACAGTAGTCATAATACTTTTTTTCTCAACTTTTTTACAAGTTAAATAAACTAAATTTGATACTAATTTAATGCTATCTAATTTATTGAACATATTATTTCTAGAATAACTTCATGACTAGAACTTGATAGAAAATAAAATACTAAAAATAAAACAATTAATTGAATGATACATTTGAAATCGTATAATTAAATAGAATAAAATAATTACAGTTTATGTATAGCCGTGCTTATAAAAAACATTAAACTTGTTTATATATATACATAACTGAGTGTGAATAAAGTAAACATTAAAAATATGAAAAGATTAGAGGCAGATATTCTGAGACCCGAAGAGTACTTGGTACAAGAAGTGTATGTATGTTGAGAATTGTTGGTTGAGATTAGTGAACCAAACACAAACAGCGCAGGGACCAGTGATTACATTCCCACAAAATCGAACCTGAAGGTAAAGTGAAGGAAGTGAAGATCTAAAGAGACATATTTAAGTGGAAGAAATTTGGTTTGTTTGCAGACTCACGGTGTTCCATGGCACATTTAATGCACTAAACGAGTTAAGAGAGAGAGTGTGATTGAGAATTGTTTTTGTTAGGAGGCATGGGCGTGTTTTGTTCCGGCACGTAGACACGAACATGGTAATTTTGATGCCACAAAAGATGTAGTGGATTAAGAAGGACAAAGATGAGGATGATGGGCAAGGTGGTGGTTCCTTTTTTGGGCTTTGGGATTTGTTTTGTCACAATGGACTAAAATAATGCATGTGTCTTGCATTTGTGCTCCTGCTTCTGGACAAGGAAGGGGCATGTTTGAGATTCATGATGCTTCCTAGTGGTGGAGACGTGAGTTCCCAAGCAAACCAAACAAGGCCTAGCAAGTGCGTGTGGTGGGCCCTTTCTTTTCCACTGTTGCATTGCACCCTATCATTCTTCTCCACTCGTTTCAATCTTCATTTTCTTTTGTTTTCCCTTCTCAATCAAAGGATGTAGTGAGTGAGCGATTGAGTGGTGCTCATTGTGGTGTGGTGTGTACATTATTCATAGATGACCCACCAACACCACGGCCTTCAACTTTCACATAAACAATGGAAGTAGGTAACCTATATATATGAACTTTCAATTTTTAACATTTTCCCCCATCTCGTGAAAGCCATACCAAGACACACCACCCTTCTTGCCAAAGCACTACTCATTTACCCCTCTTAGACTCACAACTGAACTGATTGTTAAACATTTGGTATGCTAAAAGGTGGCTACCTACCAAGTTAAAGGCATCATTTAGTTGGAAATGTCATGGTACAATACTTTATTCAATGATGCCACTCTCATATGATATCCGTATAAAAATATTAGCCAAGAGAGTTACAATACAAAGTTCAATGCTTGTGTTGTTGTCTTGCAATACGTGAGGGAAGGATTATGGTAAAAGGAATATAAAATAGTAAGGTAATATAATGTGAATGAAATTCTCCATTATGATGAGGCAAGGTTGCCATAATTAATTAATCAATCAATTAGTATTAAATTATTAATGTGAATGTGAATAGAGGTGTGTTTGCAAATGCACGCCTGCAATTGGATTCATGATGGGTGTGGATAATTGTTTCTGCCTCCACTTGTAGTTGGGATAATAATTGCAATAACAGTTTGTGATCTTTTGCCATTAAAATATGCAAAAACTTGTAACATTTCCAATATATATACATCAAGGCATGCAATGGAAACTGGGTTCTCCGTCTCATGCGTATTTCTGCTAAGGTAACAAAGGAGGGGGGAATTAAATACAACCACATACAGAACTTAAGCATGCTCTCACTGCCTAGGTTTATAGGTCGTATAGGACGAGTTTTCTTTTTCATCTACATTTTTAATTTGGACAATGTCGTGTTAAATTTCAACATCACGTGATCATATTTTTAAACATTCTTTTTATACAAAAAGTAAATAAACAGGCAACAATACAGATAAAAGTTTATAACAATTTTAATAAACATGCAAAAACATAAAAGAAACCATAAACGAATTAAATAAAAAAAAAAAAACATACATCAGGTAACATTTTTTATATTTATATGGTTTGATTCTTTATTTTTACACTACATAGGATTTTATCTCTGTCAAGTAACATTTTTCTCATGTATAATCCACATGTAATTTCTAACTTGCTTAGTTTTAAATATCAAAATGATTAGAAGAATGAAAGGAATAAAATTATCTTCCTCTCAAACATGTCAATCTCAGTGTCATGTATCAAGCAAACACAAAAGCAAAGACTGTGTGAAAACCTTTTACAGAGGTGGTCATATAAGGTATCAAATGTTTTATTTTGTTTGGCTTTAACTTTAAACATAGCTTCTTTGTCACTAGAGGAGTGGATAGACAAAAACGGCAGCAAAACAGTTTTTCTCCTTAAATAATGGATAGAACTGCAGCCATGTAAGGAACTTTGTTTCACCTTGGGTGGAACAGTCTAATGTGACAATTTAAAATGCCTTTACCAACATCCCAAGTTTTTTTTATTTGCTCCATTTTCATGCAGTATATTAATAAATGTCCTGAAATTGAACTTGTTGCAGAAAAAGATTCGTGCTTTTTAAGGACACTCTGGCTTTATAGCATTTAGATCATTTTCTCAATCAAAATGGACCAAAGCGATAGAACCCCAGAAATTGATTGTAACAATGTGTTGAGTTTTAAGTTGGAAGTATAATATGAACTTAGTATTTTATCTATTTTTATTTAGAGCTTGGGTTGGTCCTGAATACTGAGAATAGTTACACTGATGCCAAGAATGTGTCTTTTTTCTGTTTTCACGGCAGAAGCAGATGCCATTCCTGCATCTGCATGCCTTCTAACTTTGAGCCAAATACAGCTTATGTCGGTATCAGAAGGCACCAAAAACTTTCATCATTCATTCAAAAGTAAAATGGTCAGAAAACCCCAAAACAAGGCCAAGTACTATTTTCACTTTACCTTCCTTTTCATCCTCTTTGTTTAATATTGTTTATTGTTCATTTGATTATTATCCACACAACACAAGACAGCACAACACAATTCACAAAGACCAACCTCTTCTCTCACTTTTTTCTTTCTGTAAAACAAAAGAGCCACAAGGACAATCTTGTCCACAACTCAGAAACAATTTTGTTTCTTAAGTGTCTTATTTGGGCCCACAGCAGCCCAAAAGTCCATGGTCTAATGAATCTCTTATGTGGGGGCCATGGATTCCGTACACTAGTAATATGGGCTATGAGTGTTTACCACTTCGATTGATGCATAATTTGGTATTGGACAAAAGGAGTACGCAACATAGTCATACAAAGAAAAAATATTTTTGAAAAAGCTGAAAAAAAAGTTAGGTAACTTTAAGTTAAAATTTATTTTTAAATAAAGAAAATAAAAAATTGTAATAAAATTTTGAAAATTTATAATTTTATGATAATAAATATTATTGAAAGAATAAACATTATTAATGAAAAAAAAATCAAAACAGAAAATAACTTATTTAGTTTTGTTTTTAAATTTTTAAAAATAATTTCAGAGGTCAATTTAAAAAAAATATTTTTAAAAAGAAGTTAGAAAAAAAAATTGTACAATAATTTTATTTTTTTTAAACTATTTTATATAAAAAATTATCAGGACAAATTATAATAAAAGTTCAAAAATGATTTTAAGAACTTTGTAGTAGTAAATTAAGTGATATACAGAAAAAAGATAAGAAAAATAGGGAAAAGAGGATGAAAATGTATAATAGTTTTAGTTATGACCAATCCTATTGTAACAAATGCTGGTCAAACAGTAGTTTTTAAATTTAGCAAATCAAACTGATTCTATATATTGTTGGTTGGTGGTTTTGTTGATAATTAAGTAAATTGAATTGAATTTGACAATGACATTTAAGTAGTAAAATTTTGAGTGGAAATAGTAAAAGAAATAGATAAGGATAATGCAGTATTTAACATTATAAAATTGTAAACTTCTTCTGTGAAAAGTTTTGCTTTGAACTTGGCAGTTTGGTTTCAATTTCAAATAATGGGGATGGTGTTCATCAAAAGAAAAGAAAAGGAAAAAGATCAACCATGACCCTGCTACTACAATAGTATGTAACTTTATTTACATTAAAAGTGTGCAAAACTTTTGTAAGTGTTTTAGTTTCCACTTTATACTTTTATTGGAGATGACAAAAGGTTGTAGATGGTGATGGGACCAATGAGAGTGTGTGTGTGTGTGTGTGAGAGAGAGAGAGAGAGAACCTTTTAAAACACAAGATGATTCTTTATGCTTTACTTTGACTGCAACTGTGCATAACATATTGAAGGCGAGCATCATTCATCCGTTGAATGAGGAGTTTTGTGGTGTATGTCTTTGAGTTTGGGCAATGTTGTTAGAGATAGTGTTCTTCTCTTTAGTACTGTTTTTCCTGTGGTCATATGATGCCAATTCTGTTACTTGGTGGGTGTCAAGGTGTTGATTTGGTGTGAGACATAGAAACTCTTAAACGTTTAAAGAATGATTTATATGAAATAACACGTACTATGCACAGAGAATATAATATAAATTGTAAATTAAAACAGCTACACTTAATTATTTAAACGCAAGCCATTAATCATTGAATATTTCGTTATTTCTCTTTTGAAACAAAATCATAACATATTAAACAATATTTATACTAGATAATTAATATTATTATAATAAATATGGAGATAAAAACTACTCTCATTTCTAAATCCTAGTAATATTAATATTATTATAATAAATAAATATGAAAAAAATATAAATGAAACATTTATATTTATATTTAACTTGTATACTTTTATTTTTAAATTAAGATATAATAGTTTGATCCCCACCAAGTCATAAAGTAAAATTTAAGAAAGTTTCCTAAGTATTTGTTATCGCAAACTTTGCTTTACGGGTCTCTTTTGCAAAATTCCATTTCAAAGCTAATTCACGCCTTTGTGTTTGGGCCCTTCACATATATTTTCATGGTAGTTATTATTTGTACCTTCCCTTTTTAGTTGTGCACCTACTTTTCTTGCTTTTAATATTTTTGCCAACCCTATGCGTTTTATCATCACTTATACGATTCACAACATAAGCCCACCCTAATGAGTATATTAACAGAAATAAATACTCTGCTCTTTATGCTCCCAACACCAAACATAGTTAAAAGAAACCCTTCCCTTCATTATTATCCATCTTCCACTTCTACAGTTGTTGATATGGAAACATTCAAAGTCAAGAAAACATACATAAAACCCTGTTTCATTTATAAATTATGTCAACAATTAAAGTTTAAACCTTAAATTTTAAAATTTACATCCAATTTTTAAAGGTTTAAAGTGATAATGAGAGTGACCACGAACGAATTAGTATCTAGCCACTTGAAGAAGTCGTAAATATAAATAAAAGGGATATGTGAATGGGTAGAGAAGACAAGGTAATCTGGGGAAAAAAAAGAAGAAGAAAAGAAAGAGAGGTACGAAAGTAAAAGCAGAGGTAAAAACAGCAAGTTCCTTTTAAATTAGCGAATTAAGAAAGCCCAACTAAGTGACACCCAACTCATCCAACTAGATCAGGCCCGGTTTGGAAAAAGTGGCTGGCTGGTACCAAACAATGAAACTAGTTATCAAATTGTTGAGAAAAAACACAAATTTTATATTGTTTAATATGAGAGAATGAAAGAAGATGAAAGGAAAAAAAAAAATTCAAATAGAAATAATCATGTCCTGTCCTTTTCAATTTATAAAATATAAGAGGTTTATATTGTTGTGTCTTTCCATAGTTTTTGTGTTTTATTTCTTTTCTTGACTTGAGTGGAAATAAACTAAAATATATGAAACCCATTTATTTTGTTTGGCTCTCCTGTCTTTTAACACTAACATATATACATCAGAAGAAAATTTGAAAAGTATCTGTTTTATGCCACTTTTTTTTCTTTCATGACAAACTCTTACAAATCAAGCAAAAATCCAATCCTTTATGTCTCTCAACAAAACATTCTCGTGTATATGACTAATAATTGAATCCTCGTAGGAACTCAATTATTGTTAATTGTGTCATTCCTTTTTGACTGTTGACACATGTTATGTATGGTCAAGAAAAAAAGGAATTTTATTTTTATTTGAACTTCTCTTCCTTTATGAATTAGATTAAAATGTAACATCTTCTGAAATATTTATAAACTTGAAAATACAAAACAGATGCTGCAGTAACTTCAAAAAGAACACTTTTTGTGAGTATATAATTTTATTTGCAGTTGTTAATTGTGAACCTTGAAATATTTTTCTTCTGAGTCTATGTGAGTGGTATTGTATGCAATTTTGTGGGCATATTTTTGAGATTAATTTTGAGGTTTTGGAAAAGGTAGTGTCTGTTTATGATTAATTTATGTTGTAAGTTGTAAATAGATTCCCTTCTCTCCACCAACTTTGTTTTACTATGGACATTGCTTTTACATTAAATATATGAGAAGTGTGATTAAATTAAGATTATTTTGGTGGTGATTAGTATCCAATTGTCACTTCCTGACAGGAATATAATATATGGGTGTGTCAGATAAGCATTATTGAGATACCTGATAGATATTCAATCACTACTATTATTTACTTTGTAATTAATATTCCCAATAAATAAATAAATAAATAATATATTTCTCGACTAACTAGCCAGATTGACTTAGAAGATCTAAGAAAATACTAGATTGTGTTTCCTGTGATGTACATTGTCTCACGTGTTAATTTGTTTCTTAATTATATTTATTTAATTTAGTCTCTGTGGATAAAATGTTTAATTATATTTCTCAAATTAAAAAATTATTAATATAACCTTTTTAATGTTGGACAGAATCTTCAATTTTCTTAATAAAAATGATGCTATTAATTTTATAAATTATTACTTTGATTATAAATTACAATATATAATTAATCCTCTCCAAATGTGTGTAAAGAAGACCAAATTAGTGCAAGAGTGACTCTCTTTACAATTTTTAAGTTTAATGCCTCATTTTGTTAACACAAATTGAAAGCTAATTAGGAAAATTCTAAAGGTTTTTCACGTCTCCTTCTCATTTTGGTGTTGAATTATCGAATAATATCAAATGAATTTTATATGAATTGAGAGTAGAGAAGAAGAATTGTTGTATGACTTGGCACAAATATTCAGCAAACAATGTCATGTAACAAACTTCGACTACTTTCATTAACGATTTAAAATAGCCATCAAACATGGCAATTTGGCAAAGGAACATTTAAAAGAAACAAGCTTGCAATTTTAACACTCATTTTACATTTTCCTTGAAATTAGTTGAGTTCGGAAAAGTCAGCAGAAAATTCATGTTTATTGTTATTTAGTTATAAATGATACAAATTTTTTTACCTAATAAAATAATTAATTGATATTTTTGGAGATAAAGTGACGTACGTTTCTCAAGATCTTCTTATACAACAGCCACATTCTCTATTATTTTTAATAAATATTTAAGAATTTTGTTTAAAAAAATGTACAAATAATTTTGTCAACTCTCAAAAATAGCTTTAAGTTGTCTAGTTTGTTTTTTTCATTTATACTTCACAATAAATGCACAGTTGCGTTTCATTTTACTTTTATGATAAATGACAAAATTAATTAAAAACTAAGTTCATAATAACATTTTAACAAAAAATTAATGTTTTTGAAAATTATAATTAAATAAGAATATAATTTTTTAAAAATTCAACATTTAAAAATAATGGGACGATAATTAAAAAAAACATGTTTTTGTTATTTTATTGAAAAAATATCAGAGTTGTTTAATTTAGTTTAATTTTTTAGTTTTTAAAATTACTTATAAATATCAGTTTTTTTAAAATGAAAAAAAATTGTTTTTTTTTAAACTATTCTAAATAAAAATGTGATGAGAACAAAATTTGGAAAACATTTTTATTACTCCTTCGTGATGAAGGTGAGTGTTATTATAGTGAATTTTTTATGAAAAAGACTCATATTATTCAATATTTTTTAGTATTTAAATTTTGAAAAATTAAAAATTACTAAAAATAATATATAAAAACTTTAAGTTTTTATTTTTATTTATTTATTAATATAGTAATCTAATATGATAATTCATATTAATTATCAAATTAAATTATGAAAAATTAAGAAAAATTAAATTTTTCTTATAATAAGTAAAAAGAAATTCTCAGAGATAGTATCTATAAAAAAAATGCACGTATATTATATTAATAAGAGCAATCGAGTTTTAAATGTATGCCCCCATTTATTTAAGTTGGGTAAAAGCTAAACTTGAATTTGAAATTTTCAAAGATTTGAATATAAAATCGATTTTATTTAAGTTGTGTAAAATATAAACTTGAATTTAATTTCTCAAAAACAAGTTGAATGAGATGGATAACGTGATGTCATAAATAGTTGACATTTCCGGTAATCATTAATGTTTTACCTAAATTTGGGTACTACATAATATATGTTACAGGTTCAAAGAAATAATCACAAAAATAAAAATTTCTCACCAAGGTAAATAATAGATTTATGAGGTAACATTTGATTTTCCTCTATTAAAAATTCTCTTAATAAATTTTACAAAATTTATTCTGACTTTATTTTTTTTATTTACTTATTTTTTAAGTTATTTGATAAATTATAAAAAAATTTAAATACTTATCATATATCATAAAATTAATCTAATAAAAAATTACTTCAAATAACTAATATTTCATTTAAATATTTCAATAAATAACTCTTTTGAAATGCTTTAAGAACTAAAAAAAATAAACAATAACATCAACACTTAAAAAAATAAATATTAAAACAAGAAGTTAGAGTATTGAAGATATAATTTGCTTTATAGCATAGGTGAAGTGTAATAAAAGCTTAACAAGCTTATAAATAAGTAATGTAAGTTTAATAAGCTTATGCTTAGATATCATATTGGAGGCTATCATTGACAAGTTTTTTCTAGAACTTATGCTTGGATATGTCAGTCAACAACAAATATTGTAATAATTTCTATAATTGTAATGTATTTCTTAATCGAAAAATATTTTAAATTGGACTGAATTATGAGAAACAAAATATTTTTTGTTAAATATTTGTAGTATTTAAATTGGACTGTATTGACCGGTTTAAGGTAGGTTAGTAGTGACTCGGGCCCAAATGAATTGTCGTTCTTACTTTTTTTTCACTTTTATAAACATTGTTGAATGAATAGAAATTTAAATTTCCTCAAATTGAGATCAATTGTTTATCGTGAGTTTCAAACTATTTATAAAGATTTTTACTTTGAATGGTTTGATTAAGGTGATGAATCCATTCATCTTCTATTTGAGGTGACATGTTTTTCATTATCTTTTTTCACTCTATGTTTTTAATGTTTTAAAGTTTCTCTTTGATCATGTGTTGCGTTGTACAAACCACATCTTAAGTATTACTTCATTAGTTTACTCGTCTTTTTGACAAGATAGATTTAATTTTATTTAATGTTTCAAAATACTAATGTATATATTTGGAAGTTTGCGACAAAAGTTTCAAATATTGTAAAAAATGTGTAAAACTATTTTTTTTTTACATACCATCTTAATTTATTAACAAGTCTTACCGTTATAATATGTGATTTTGTAAATTTAAAAGTTTCATGTGTATGAAAAAGTAATAAGATTAGAGACTTATGAAACATAATTTATTTTAATAAAATAATTGAATGTTTTTATCATAAAATATGTTATTTTAATAAATAATTTTAAAAAACTGATAATTTAAAAAACTGATAATTTAGTTACATAAAAATGAGATAATATATATATATATATATATATATATATATTTTAATTTATTTATTTTTCTCAAATTTATGTCTTTTATTTTTATATTTTATTTTTATTTAATTTTAGAGAAGAGATATTTGACTCGATTTCAATTTATATGTTATCAGCTCAATTGAAATAATATCCACATAGATAAATATAGTGTGACCCAGCCAAGTTGAACATGATCTGGTCTAACTTGACCTTGAATGAGTTTCTTCTTGATTTAAAATTCAATGTATTTAAATCTCTTAAAAAATTACAAATTTTATTATTCATAAATAACTTAACAGATAAAAAATAAAAATAAAATATAATTAAAAGAGATGACAATGAAATTAAACGAACGAGTATCACATTATGTTTGCATTTTTTATAATTTTGTAGTCATAAATAAAGTTATAAACAGTTTTATGCATAAAAAGATTGATTTATTTTTTAAATAATAAAATTAAAATAAATAACCAAATTTAAATACTTTTTTCGTGATTCTCTAATAAATGTTCTTCGTTTGAAAGAAAATATTTGGAATCTATTATTTATATCATCATATAACACTATCAACTTTTATGTTTGTTATTTTAATTTTTTTACGTCAAAAATAAAATTGACGTTAATATGGGAGATGTAAATTTACATCAACGTAAATTTTGTTTTTTTTATCTTGCAGTCCACATATCATATTTCAATGGACAATAACTCAAATGTACAATATAATACAAAGATAAAAATTAATATAAAAACTAAGTTACATAAATATTAAAGTATATAATACAATACAAAATAGAGATGTTAAACGAAAAATCTTATAATTTTGTAATATCATGTCCTGATAGTAGAGATGGATGAATCTTGAAATACCTGAAACATTATTTTGACTCCAATTAATATGTAATACTGATTTTCGAGAAAAGTGATCGAAAAACGAAGGAAAGAAAAATCGAGAAACATGTGATTTATTGATAAATCAAAAAGATGGATGAGAAACCATTCGATGTTCAATTAGAAAGTGCGTGACACATAAAATCGAGAAGTAGAATCAAGAATCGAAGGAATAATAGTTAAATGTCTATTGTCAAATAAAAACCAAGAAATTAGAAGTATATGACGTTAAGGTTAAAAGGAATCGAAAGCAATTCAAAGTTCTCGAGAAGTTTCTGGCGATCTGGATTTCCATGCTCATTGAGTACCTTTACCGCTTTCTTTATTTTTCCTGGTAATCTAATTTGATGCAATTTATCTTTAGCAATTTTAAGTTTCTGTACTTTTCAATTCCTTGTCATTTCCTTTAATGAAAGTTAAGTTTCCACATTTAAGCTTCTTGCTATTTACATTTCTGTAATCTCGATTTCTTGCTATTTACATTTTCGCGTATTTCAATTTTCTGTCAGTTATATTTTCTGCAATCTCGATTTCATGCCATTTACATTCTTGCTACTCCAATTTCTTGTCATTTAATGCAAATTTGAGGTTTCCGCATTTTTACCTCTTGGCAATTCAATTTTCTGTTTTACTTTTCGATTCGACGCTTCTATTGCTTTGTTTACTTTGAACACTCTAAACATAAAATACCAAAAACAGCATTTTCGATACTATGTAAATTTCGATTCTCATATGCATTTCAATTGAAAATCAATTTGCTAGCCTAAGTAAAAAAGAACTTGCGTGGTTGAATTTTGATTAGAATCAAAACATCTTAAGAATCGGAATCGATCGAAATTCCACCAGAAATAAATTGGCGCGCCAGGTAGGGGATCTTGTGTTGAAAATACACAAAATTGGTTAGTTTGAAAGTATATGAGATTAAGGAGTGGGCGAGTTATAAGAATGAGTCAGAATCCACCAAATAACCAGAGTAACAGTGAGGGTCTAAATGGTGCATATCCACCAAATACTGGGGGATAAAGTTATAATGGGAATATGCCTGTAATATCGACAACCGTGAGTATGTCGATACCTGTGAGTAATGAACAAAATGCAGGCACATTAGCAAACACCCAAGTAGGATCTAATACGGTGACACTAAACAATATGCAAACTATGGGAAACCCCATAACAACAAATGCTGGGCCATATATGAGCGTAAGACCACCTGGGTTTTCGCTTAATATGAATGGGGCTGGTACCTCTTCGATACAACGAAACTCGAGATTTAACCTAGGAATGCCTCAGAACTCAGGTACCTTAAAACTCTAGGTATGCCGCAAAATTTCGGAGTCTCTCCGAATTTAGGATCTCAAAATTTAGTAACCCCCGAATTCGGGAGTGGGCGGAATTTAGGTACACAACGAGACACCTCCAAATCTAGATCACAGAGCAAATCCGGATCATGGGAGAAATGCATTCGATAGAGATTATCATCGGTCTAATTTTGAGACTATTGAAAACACTAGTACTGGGATCTCCAGCAACTCACTAGGAGTACTTAGACAACAAATGGATGAGAGCAATTTTGAGATGGTGAATATGTTATCACAACAGTTAACTACAGTCTTCAATCCATTAGTTCAAAACACTACTACTAGTTTTGAGATATTAGTAGACCAAATGACCCGTATCGGGGATGCATTGGCTATACCTCGACAAACAAGAGTGGAAAATCATGTCAATCAAAGCTTTAACCAAAGTGCTAATATCAATCCCCTGTATCTATTGAGGAGGAATCGAAACAATGATCAACATCAGCATATGGGGAACGAATATCAACATGTGAGGAATGATATTTATGGGAATCTGAATGAAGGATTTCAAAATATGTACAATCAAAATAATATGCAGTATAATCACATGTTAGGACAAAGGGTGAATTCCCAAGGAATGGAGTTAAGACCACCCAATCAAACGTACTTTGTTTCTCCTTTTCCGAATGTTATTCTCGAGACAGAATTACCTCGAGGATACAAAATACCCAAATTCACCAAATTTGCTGGAGAAATTGGTGAATCCACTATCGAGCACGTAGCTCGATATCAGATCGAATTTGGGGATCTAGCGATGAGTGAAGAATTAAAAATGAAATATTTCCCTAGTTCATTGACGAAAAATGCTTTCACTTGGTTTACTTCGCTACCGCCCAATTCGATATATAATTGGTTGCAGCTGGAAAGAAATTTTCATGAGCAATTCTTTAGAGGAGAGACTCAAGTAAGCCTCATCGATTTGATGAACATAAAAAGATACAATAATGAAAGTATAGATGATTATTTGAATAGATTTAGACAAATGAAATCGAGATGTTTTACTCAAATTCCTGAATATGAATTAGTCAGAATGTCATCCGCAGGCTTAGAATTCTCGATTAGAAAGAAGTTAGTTAATTTACCATTGAATGACATGGCTCAATTAGCTGATAAAGTGAGAAGAGTATAACAAATTGAATATGAAAAACAAAGGTATAAGAAATTTGAAAAACCCATGAAAAAAGAAAGAGTAGCATATATAAATGATGTGTATGAGACAGATCCCTCGACAGAAACTAATATTGGAGAAATTGTCGATGAGAAAGTTAACATAGCAGAGCTCAAAGTAGGAGCTCCATATATCTATAAATTACTACAAAAAAATGAAGTAAAAGACAAAATGGCAAATCGAACATATACTTTCGATGTAACGAAGGCGGATAAGATCTTCGATATTCTATTAAAAGATAAACAGATTAAGTTGAGTGATGATCATAAAGCGCATACACGAGAACAAAGGAATAGTCGAAAATACGCAAATTTCATAATGTTTATGGACACTTGGACTAACAATTGTATACATTTCGGGAATACGATCCAAGATGCGATCGACCAAGGAAGAGCGAAGTTCGAAGAAATGTCGATGAAAGTGGACACGAGTCCATTCGAGGTTCGAGTGGGATATATTGAATCCCAAACGGGCATGATCGAAGATGTCGGGTGACAAATTCGGCTTTTATAGGCATGGTCGATGTTACTGAAGACATTGATCCCAAACATGTAAGAATGGATGTACCCGAAGAAGATATGGAGTTCGACCTGAGTGAATTCGAGAGGGAGATCTATCCTCGAACAGGAGATTCTCTCATCGAGTTTTTAAACAGAAAGAAAGAAAAAGATGAAGATGTGTCATTGTGTCCACGATGCAGTGCGGTGTTCGACAAGTCAGCTACTAGAGCTTTCAGAGTGGAACAGATAAAGAAAATCGAGAATCAAAATAAAAGAGGTAATGACAAAGTGGATCAAACAGCCCAACCAATGATAGGGGAAAATCAACGAAATCCGTTGGTTACGGTGTTAGTGGAAATCAAAGACGAGTGGGTTAGAAGAGAGATGTATTCTTCTCGAGGAGGAAGAGGCAAACTTCGGAGTAATGATGTCTTCGAGAGACTTTCATACGATGAAGGATCGAATACTTGGATTCCCAACATTCCAAAGGCGATTCGAGGAAGGCCACTGGAGAAGAGGAGGAAGGATCCCTTCTTGGAATAATTACGAAACTTTGAAGAGAATAATGTACCAATGGGGAACCAATATGCAAGAGATTTTTCGACGATAAAAATGAGGGTAGTTG